AATGTTATACATTAAAGCAGCGGTCCCCAACCCCCGGGCCTCGGACCGGTACCGGTCCGTGAGTCGTTTGGTACCGGGCCGCGAGAGTTGAGGCTCAGGTGTGAAATGTATAGTTTTCAGGGTTTTATCGGTTTTCAGCGTTATTTTGTTATCGTTTTTATCGTTAACTCGGTTTTCCTGGGTCTTTTCACGTCTGTTATGAATAAATCTTCTTTTTTCGGTACTGGTACTAGTTTTATTTTGTTGTATTTATCCGCGACACCTTAAAGGCCGGTCCATGAAAATATTGTCGGGCATAAACCGGTCCGTGGCGCAAAAAAGGTTGGAGACCGCTGCATTAAAGTATAATATTGTAAAGGAAACAAAACATCAATCAAAAAAAAGTTAAAACACAAATTACAACAACTGTATAAAAATTACAATCATCAACTCAAATACTTGGTTCTAATTGAACAGAAATTTCTATGAACTTGTAAGAACTGTAGAACATGAATCAGTCTGTGTTTATTGTTTATTGTTAGTATGTTTTTTGCAATTGTTTTTTGTTCTGGGAAAGATACTGCAGACTGAGCAATAATGCATTTCTTGCATTTCTCATGGGCTCTGATGGGGTCTTTCTTAAAATGACTGGTCCCAGTAACAAAGGCGCTTGTCGACTCAGAAATGGAGGGAAACTCATGACACACCTGGCAGAACATCATGTTATTTAGCTCATCATATTCCAACCACAGAAATTCTTTTGTCCATGAAACAAAAAAAGCTGCGCTTTCTTTTTGCCTCATTGTCTGATTTGTCATAAGTTTTCTGTTTTGTGATCAGCTTTTCTTTGCTGTCCCGTCTTCACCCTGACCTGTCTCATTTGGCTCTGCAGAACTAAAATACCTTCATAAATTCATCTGCTTTTACACACGTACTTACATAACAGTCAGCGATTCTCTGCGAAATGAACCTCTATGACATGTTTAAGCTTGCTGCAGGAGATTTCACTTGTCACGTTTGAATAGTAATCTAACGATTGGTAAGACGATGCCAGAGGAATTGGTGCGCAATTGATCTGTCACTCACCAATCAGTGCTGCCGCTCTCTATATGTAGCCGCTAAACTGGTGGACCTAAATCTTCACCACCACGTCTGTATACATACAAGCAGAAAGGGGAGTGAGTGGGTCAGCGCTCAGAGCACAGAAACTTAGCTGGCTTCAAACACACCATTTATTTTCAGGATAAAACACAGTCAGAGCCCTGAATACAAGCTAAAATCCCCGTATACAATAAAAATAGTGTTTGCAACCTGCTAAAAACCCTGCCGGCAGGAATGATTAAACACTAAAAACACAAAGCTAAATGAATGTTTTTCCCTATGCTAAAAACTCCCCCCAGGGTCCTAATTCTCACAGTCCAGCAACACGCGGGCAAATTCTCCTGAGCTGAAAGAGACAGGAGAGGAACTCCTCTTCCGGGATGGGGAATCTCGCCAGCAGAAGACCAGGGAGGAGGCTCCTATCTCCACCTGACTGTGCGCAATCGTGCAGTCCAGCCACTCTCCACCTCCTCGCACGGCCTCCCTCGTAGCACCGCCCTGAAACAGACAGACATGGGTCAGCAACGTTGTCGGCGCAGCCGCTGTTACCCTCCCCCGGCAAAGCTGCACCTGACGCACAACAGTGGGAAAGCAATACTCACAGATGCAGGCAGAGGCGTACCCCTGCCCTACTGTGGATTTCACGCGTCGCCTCCCACGGTTGCTATTCTGTCCGTCGGGACTGGATCGCCGGGTTATCCTGGCCGATCGCCGAATGTCTCGTGGTGCCCCACAGTCAGGCCGGAGGTCCTTCTGTTCAGCTGGCTTGCACACGTTTTGTTTCCAGCTCTTCACTTTTCGTGTGTCTCTCTTTCAGTCTTTGCGCTCACTATCTCCCTTAAGTCAGTTTGGCGGCTGAAAGGCCACCTCGGGGAACGCCCCCACCTCACAGGTGCCTACAATTGTCCGCTTAATCCACAGTGGAATAAAAAAAGCATATTGTTCAATCAACACTAAACACACACTATAAATATGGGGATAAAATCATGCAATAGGAATATCAATAAACAAACATGCAATATCACTATTACAATAAAATCATGCAAATAAAATCGACACTATGTACCAACACAGTCTGATCCAAAACAAACTATAAAAACACAATTTTCCACTGTGTGACATATACACAGTTTGCGTGATCGCAAAGTGAAAGTGAAAGCAAAAAACTAGCGTAAATTCAAACGCGATTTCAATATGTTGACAGTGGCTCATCAATGCCAATGACATAATTACCCAGCTACATTTGCGAAAGAATGCAAAAGCATTGACATATATTTTTCCTTCCTACGATAGCCTGACGGGCAGGGCTGAGATGGATTTTGGTAGCCCGACTGGAAAAATTGCTAGCCCCGGGACGTTGGGTTTGCGATTTTGCGAGCCCTGCACTGAGTATGAGTGCTGCTGGCTGCTTCAGCAGTCTGGCTCTAACCCTCAAACTCTGGTTGAAGTTCCTCCAGACTTCAACACAACTAGGGTTGTGATAAGGAAACTCTACGTCAGACATCAGAATAACCTGCAGCCAGAGTAAAGTATTTCATGTTATTATTTATATTTCAATTCAATTTTATTTATACAGCACCAAATCACAACACAGTAGTCGCCTCAAGGCCTTATATTGTAAGTTAGACCCTACAATATACACTGACTGGCCCCCAAAGAAGCTGCCACCTAGATTTAACTAAGCAAATAGGTATGAGCCTCTTACTTGAAAATTACTGCGTGGGTGATTATCTTTCAGTTGGCAACAAGTTATTTAACCCTAACTGATGCAATGAGTTGCTTCTCATTTCATAAACAACTATGTGGAAAGACACATCTTGTGGTCGTGGAAGAGATGATTGTGTGTTTTAAAAGGGTCAATCATTGGCATGCATCAAGCATAGAAAGCATCTAAGGAGATTGCAGAAACTACTAAAATTGGATTAAGAACTGTCCAACGCATTATAAAAAAGTGGAAGGATAGTGGGGACCCATCGTCTTAGAAGAAGAAATGTGGCCGGAAAAAAATCCTGAATGATCATGATCACTTACACGTTGAAGTCAAATCAAAGAAAAAAACAACACTAGAACTCAGGGCTATGATTAATAGTGAAAGTAAGAACATTTCCACGCGCACAATGCAAAGGGAACTCAAGGGATTGGGACTGAACAGCTGTGTAGCTGTAGGAAAAGTACTAATCAGTGAGGCAAACCGGAAAAAAAGGCTTCCCTTTGCTAGGGGGCATAAAGGTTGGACTCTGGAGCAATGGAAGAAGGTCATATGGTCTGATGAGTCCAGATTTACCTTGTTTCAGAGTGATGGACACATCAGGGTAAGAAGAGAGGCAGATGAAGTGATGCACCCATCATGCCTGGTGCCTACTGTACAAGCCTGTGGGGGCAGTGCTATGATCGGGGTCTGGTTGGTCAGGTCGAGGTTCACCAACAGTATGTGGTAAATGGCCTGTATTTATATAGCGCTTTACTAGTCCCTAAGGACCCCAAAGCGCTTTACACTACGTTCAGTCATCCACCCATTCACCCACCCATCCACACACTGGTGATGGCAGCTACATTGTAGCCACAGCCACCCTGGGGCGCACTGACAGAGGCGAGGCTGCTGGACACTGGCGCCACCGGGCCCTCTGACCACCACCAGTAGGCAACGGGTGAAGTGTCTTGCCCAAGGACACAACGACCGAGACTGTCCAAGCTGGGGCTCGAACCGGCAACCTTCCGATTACAATACGAACTCCCAACTCTTGAGCCACGATGTGCTCCAAAACAGGTCAGCTGACTACCTGAATATACTGACTATACTATACTCTTTCCTGATGGCACGGGCATATTCCAAGATGACAATGCCAGGATTCATCGGGCTCAAATTGTGAAAGATGGTTCTGGGAGCATGAGACATTATTTTCACACATGGATTGGCCACCACAGAATCCAGACCTTTACCCCATTGAGAATCTTTGGGATGTGCTGGAGAAGGCTTTCAGACTCTATCATCCTCAAAGCAAAGCAGTTCTTGGTGAAAAATTATAGATGGAAATAAATCTTGTAACAGTGCAGAAGCTTATGGAGACAATGCCATAGCGAATGCGTGCCGTAATCACAGCTAAAGACGATCCAACGAAATATTAGAGTTTGTGACCTTTTTTTGGTGGTGACAGTGTATATAGCTATGAAGATGACGTAACAAATTATTATAACCACCTTAATATTTGAATTACCTTATAAAAGAGCAGAAGTATATCCATCAATCTTGGCATCACATTTCCCAGCAACAGCAAGGAGGCTATTCTGTGGTCACTGGCTCATGACTAAGAGTGACGTGATTAACTGGAAACTCTTGTTATAGTTGTGCCAAAAGTCAGTTCAATCTTTCAGAGATGCACAAATCAAACAAATTAAATTGAGGGGAAAAAACAGTGTTCTCATTTCCTATTAATCATATAGTAAAAATCATGAATGAAGCAACCCAGAATTATGGCAAACGCTTCAAAACAAGAAAAAGAAACATAACTTAGTTGTTGACTCATCACCATCACTTCCTGGAGGACTTTATACTGACTGCATCAAGTGAAGCAACTCTGTGGATGAAATGAACCGCTCAACTCCTTTTATGATGTTTGGTTTGAGGAACACGAGTCAATTATGATGCAGCATGGAGAGTGGCTCGTCATCAGATAGGAGAATGACTGTTCCATCTTTGGGAGAGATATATTAACAGGACATACTTTCAAATGTCAAGCTATTGCAAACATATATATATATGTATATATATATGTGTGTGTGTGTGTGTGTGTGTGTGTGTGTGTGTGTGTGTGTGTGTGTGTGTGTGTGTGTGTGTGTACACACACACACACACACACACACACTACTGTACATGCACTGTAGTTTTTTCATTAATTATGACTTGTTTGGTTTGATCTCAGGAGGCTCATCCCCATCCTGAATTCTATGAGAGAATCATTCCTACACTCAGACACAAGGTGAGTCTCTTCTCTTACATTTAAGTGGTTAAACTGGTGGCTCTCAAACTGCAGGAAATAAAACCGGTGTCATCAAAAAGAGCTCGCTACTGTGCTGACCACAGTTACGCTGAAATGAAGCTTAATAATTCGGATTCAAGCAAGCAGTGATCAAAAATTATATATGCCAAGAAAGCACGAGGCATGTCATTTGGAGCAGGTCATGACTGGGATCATACCATTATGTGAAAGAAGGAAGGTGTCAGGCTAGTGCTGTGTGTGGGCAGGATGTGGACTCACTCTTTGTTAGAAGTAAACTTTAACAAAAAACAAATGAAGAACCTCAAACACAAACTAAAACTAACTAGACTCAGGAAACTAGAACTAGGAAGCATAGACTAGGAGAGCAGAACTGGGAACTAGAACTTCACCAGAACATGGAGGACGTTGACGATGTGGCACAGACAGAGAGAACCACATGGTTTAAATACAGACGGACAACAAGAGGATGGGGAACAGGTGATAACACAGCAGGTACAAATCAAAGCTAACGAGACACAGGAATCAACGCAGACTCAACTCAAGACACGTAAGACTAACGCAAAGACATCAGACATGGCAACAGGGAGGGAACACAGACGTGGGACCAGGGCAGGCACAGAGACACAGAACCAAAGGCGCTCAAAATACAAAACAGAAACCAAACCCTAAGAACAAGAAAGCCTTAAGAATTAACCTGAAACATAAGATAATAATAATCAAAACCACTGAGTCAACAGACTCAGGACTAAGATAGAAGGAAGGCAAAAGCCGTGATGATCCACTTGGGAAAAAACATTTTTCGGGCATTTTTCTTGGCCTTCACACAATATTTCTGATTGCTATAGATCATACATATATACAGCACAGGCACTCTCACAACTCTTAAAGCTGATGCACGGTCATTAGCTAAGAAGCTGTTTTCTAGCTTTTCACTGTAACTCCTTTAGTTACCCTGATCTCCTTGCTCAGCTTGTTTCTGGACCTCTGGTTTCTGGTCGTCCCCCCCCCCCCCCCCCCCCCCTGGTTGCAGCTTCAGAAACACTCCAGGCTGTGTAGGCGTAGCAGGCTTGTAATTCCTCCTCGGTCCAGTCCTTACTACTTTAACCTCCGGTTTAGAAGTTTTTCCATTTGTCTGTATGTAGGTATGAGGTGTTTTAAAGAGGAATAAACTGGAGGAGAGGCTGCTCGTGACCTTTTAGTTAAGATTGTGCTGACCTACGCCACACTGTGCACTCCCTATAGAATAGATGACCCTCTATAAACATGATGACTTTCCATACTGGGAGCGCTTCATGCTGTGATAAGGAACCAGCTACTTCTTTTTAATCTCTTGAACTCCTCACATTTGCTAATACATCACTATATAACTTCCATAAACCACTTTCTCACATTAAAATAATAATAATCACAGTAGAGTAGTCACCAACAACAATAAGCACACCTCAGAGACCCTCTGCTCCCACACACATTAAACCCACCCTGTCTCCATCCACTAATGTTGAAATTACTTCCTGCAATTTCAACTTGCACTTCTTAATGTCATGCTTTTTATATACATTCTATCTATCCTTTGGTCTTTTGGGGGTCCTTTCCGAGAGGCCTGGGAGCTTGAGGGTCCTGAGCAGTATCTTTGCTGTTAATGGACTGTGCTCTTGTGGACAGAGATCTCAGATGTTGTTCCTGGGATCTGCTGGAGCCACTCGCCTAGCTTCAGGTGCATCTCTTTACTTTATCCCATCCCCACTAAACTGTTTAAATCTGTATTTCATCGTTTAATAAATCACTTATTTACTTAACCCCTGTGTTGTCCTTTTGTCCCTGAGGACCACAAGTGTATGGAAATCAGGAGGACATTGTGAGGGTTAAGGAAATGGGACCAAATGAAGCAGCAAACCGAGATTAAACAGTTATCTCCATAAAACAAACAGTCCAAAGACCACTGGATGACATCACAGTGGCTTCATCCATCTTTTACATACTAAACAAATTCACGTGTGGTGAATGTAACCCTCATAATGTCCTCCCGATTTCCTTACACCTCAGGGACAAAAATGTCCCAAGGACAACACAAGGGTTAAATTCAATTCTTGATGTAACAGGGAGCCATCGAAGAGAAGCCAGTATGGGTGAAATATGCTCCCTCTTTGTCTGTGAAGGTTCTCAGTCATCCAGGTCATCGTAGTCAAAGGAGCTTGCAAAGAAAAGCGTCTGGACTTCTTTAAGTTGCTTGAAGACGTTTCACCTCTCATCCGAGAAGCTTCTTCAGTTCTAAGGTCAAATGGTGGAGAGTCCCAGATATAAACCTAGTGGGAGTTTCCCCCCACAGAGGGACAAAAGGACCCCCTGATGATCCTCTAATCGCCTGAGCCAAGGTGTGAAACTGGGTGTGGGTCCCAATCAGCCAGAGTTTCGGGTGAGCTCATTGTGAAACCTGGCCCCACCTTATCATGCGAATTCCTGAGGTCAGATGGCCCAGGATGTGAGTGGGCGTTAAGGCGTCTGGGAAGGGATCTCAAAACTGGATTATAGATGGCAGAGAGTTGGTGTCGTAAACCCCCGCCTCTGTTCAAAGATGGTCGCTCACAGTGGACATAGATGGCTTCTTTCACTCCTCTTTCAAACCATCTGTCCTCTCTGTCCAAAATGGATTGAGGGCCACCACTCTACCTACTGAGCTATCCCTGCCCTGTGCTGATTAAAGAAAGCAGTCCTACATATTTGTTTAATGTTCACATTGAAGGACATATCCTGGTCAAAACTACTCCAGGATTCCTCACAGTGTTACTAGAATCCAAGTTAATGCCATCCTGATTAGACACCATATTTGTCAGATTTTTAAGGCGTGGCTGTAACTCAGGAGGTAGATCAGGTCATCTACTAATCCTAAGGTTGGTACCTTACTAATCAAAACTAAAATTTCTGTAGTAGAAAATAGAAACAGGAAGGTTTCTGTTATTTTACTGTTTATTGCTTAATTACTTTGTGTAGTATGCATGGCTATAAGGGAAGTTTGTATCAGTAGGAAAAGCTGTAAGACTTGTGAAAAGTCCAAAATGTATGCCTGCGCTTGCTTGTGGTGAGCAGCAGCTCAAACAAGAATTGTAAATGGCTTCATGAACACATTGAAGTCGGAGTACTTAGATACTAGGACACTGAGCCATGGCTCTGTGGTACATGCACACATTTCTGCATCTCTGCCAATCAAAGACACTTTGTATGTAGTTTATGTAATATTGAATACTGAACTGTAAATTTTGATTTTTTTCACGGAAGCAATTTTTATTCAGTGTTTTCATAAAAGCCTTGTTTTGATGCATTTCATACTAGTAGGGAGAACACACAGGAGGTTTAAGGCCCGGCAACTTTGAAACCTTTTTGTCCTCCACGGTGGAAATAAAAACATGTATTACTTAAGCCAGCTCCTAATTTTATAAATTCTGCACTCAGCTTTGTAGTCTCCAGTATCATTGAAATGCGGCCAGATGCTGCTCATTTTTCCCTGAGATGCTTGCATTCAAATCCCTCTCCCATGTCTCTCGGCGTACCCAGCCTGTACCGTTACACTTGCTGTCTCCAGGACGTCTGCCCACCTTCCTTCTTTCACATCGTGGTATGATCCCACTCAGTCTTTTTAATGTGATTGGCCGCATTGTGTGCTCATGAAAATGAAGTCTGACCCCGGCTACATAGATTCTCAGCAGGGCTGAAGATTCGGATGCCATATACCAACAGGCCATTAATAATTGACATTTGAAATTATTGAAATGATATAATATAATTATTCGGGCTGGGTGTAATTGTACTGTGGGTCGATGTGGCTATACGTTTGTCTAACAGGACAAGCACAGAGATGAGTCCTCTGTCAGATTAGTCATTAGTTTCACTCTTGCCTTTAAATGCTGACTTACACTCTTCAAATAAACCTTCAAATAAACTTTACCAATATTTTGACTGACTTGGGTATGTTGAACCTTAATACCTGCTCCTGTAACCAGGTTTTGATCAATTGTTAATTTTTTACAAATGGAAACAGAGTGACCTAATGTTTATAGTCCACAATTAATAATTATTTTGCTCTTTTGTGGTTTTGAAACAGTTGGCTTTTTTGGCTTTCTCAAGTGGAGATTTTCAGCTTCGATAGTGTTCGATATGAGAATTAGCATTAGAATTAGCCAGGGCAGGGACTTGCTGCCCCAAATGAGAGAGTTTAGGCATCTTGGGGTCTTGTCTGTGAAGGTTCTCAGTCATCCAGGTCATCGTGGTATGTTGGAAAGAAAAGCATCTGGACTTCTTTAAGTTTCTTGAAGATGTTTCACCTCTCATCGAGAAGCTTCTTCAGTTCTAAGGTCAAATGGTGGAAAGTCCCAGATATAAACCTATTGGGAGTATCCCTAAGAGGGTCGAGGACCACCTCTGCCTAATCACACGAGCCAAGGTGTGAAAATGGGTGTCTGTTAACTCCTGCATTTTAACTAAGGTTTCAGGTGAACCCATTGTGAGACCCTGCCCCACCCTATTGTGGTACTGAGATGAAATGGCCCAAGATGTGAGTGGGCTATAATCCAAAATGACAGACAGTTGGTGTCGTAAGCCTCTGTTCAAAGATGAACGACCATCATTAGGCAGAGGAACAATACGGGATCCACGGCCCTCTTACAGACACTCCCAGTAGGGCTAAAAATCTGTGACTCTCCGCCAACTCCTCTTAGAACTGAAGAAGCTTCTCGGATGAGAGCTGACACATCTTCAAGAAACTTCCAGACGCTTTTCTTCCCAAGCTCCCTAGACAAACTTGGGGTCTTGTTCACAAGTGAGGGGTGGAATTCTGTCCATACATCCACAGTTTAAATAGAGACTTTCAGATTTCCAGCTTTATTGGCATCCTCTTATTATCTACATACGTTGTCTTTATGATTGCATTTTTAATGAAGCCATGTTGATATTAATATACTATCAGACCATCAGTGAACCATCTCTAGTTTTAAAGCCAGCGTTCAGCCACTTTTCTCTTTTCTTAGGATGTGGGACTCAACACTGATGCTGTGATCTCGTCACGCCATGCAGACAGCCAGACCAAGTCTCTAGCTTTTTCCCTATACCGTCGATCCTCCAGGGAGAGCAACCGCAGCCACTCGCTCTCTGCCAACAACCAAAGCCTCAGGTCCATTCAGGTCTTTTCCACCTTCTCAAGCAAACATCCAGGTTAGCTGACAAATTGATGTCTGACTTCCTCAGTCTTGATGCTAAAGACACTCAACTTCCATCAATGTGTCATCATAATGTGGATGTGAGTGTGTGACATATGATTTGGAAATATAGCTTCAGTCTGTAGGCCTAGAAAAGCAGTCCATTTACCCTGAAGGCCAGATGTGCGAATTGAGCCTCAACTTCTGGAAGGAAAGATTCCAGTTATTATGAATTTTTACGTTGTATTTTTACACTTTCTAAGTCTAGATTTAACAGCGTATCATGTGCTACATTGCAAAACAATGGTGAATCTTTGCTGTGAGTGGGTACAAATTATAGCAGAAAGCAGTGTTGTGTCATTGTTGTTTTGTTTCACAGAGAACTGCGCTATTTGCGGAATATTTCGCATCTCAGCCCACTGCCTCACCTGCCTCCAGGGGCTGTGCTCAGACTGTGACAGACTGTATCACTCCTACCCTGAGAGAGCCAACCACCATCGAACAGCTGTCACGTCATCAACTTCATCCAAAAACAGGAGCAATGAAGGGTCAGGATAAGCAGTTCTTGGCAAAATGTACTTTGTCTTACAAGGGTGCAGTAATCCTCAGAATTTACAACTATATATGTGTGTGTATATATATATATATATATATATATATATATATATATATATATATACTGTATATATATATATATATATATATATATATTGTCGCGGTTCGAATTTTGAGGAAGAGACATACGACTGAAAGTCCATAGTGGGTCAACACAAATTTTTTTATTAAAACACATATATGTGGTGAAGATAGGCTCTGCAAAACATCAAGCTCCATCTCCCCTTACAATAGGTGGGTGTAATATTTATACTTGTGTCTGTGAAGGTTCTCAGTCATCCAGGTCATCGTAGTCAAAGGAGCTTGCAAAGAAAAGCGTCTGGACTTCTTTAAGTTGCTTAAGACGTTTCACCTCTCATCCGAGAAGCTTCTTCAGTTCTAAGGTCAAATGGTGGAGAGTCCCAGATTTAAACCTAGTGGGAGTTTCCCTCCACAGAGGGACAAAAGGACCCCCTGATGATCCTCTAATCGCCTGAGCCAAGGTGTGAAACTGGGCGTGGGTCCCAATCAGCCAGAGTTTCGGGTGTGTTCATTGTGAAACCTGGCCCCACCTTATCATGCGAATTCCTGAGGTCAGATGGCCCAGGATGTGAGTGGGCGTTAAGGCGTCTGGGAAGGGATCTCAAAACTGGATTATAGATGGCAGAGAGTTGGTGTCGTAAACCCCCGCCTCTGTTCAAAGATGGTCGCTCACAGTGGACATAGATGCTTCTTTCACTCCTCTTTCAAACCATCTGTCCTCTCTGTCCAAAATGTGAACATTGGCATCCTCGAAAGAGTGTCCTTTATCCTTAAGATGCAGATGGACTGCTGAGTCTTGTCCTGTGGAGGTGATTTATACTTATGATGACCAGTACCTCGCGTCACTAAAACAGAACAGTTCCTCTTTCAGTTCCTCCAGATGCATCCTGTTATTCTACTTGTCCAGACTTATTCTACTTGTCCAGACTTAAACAACACTTGCAGTCAGTTTACCCAGACAGGCTATGTGTCTGTGTCGTTAATCTAAGTGCACGACCCCCCTCTACGTCATCTGTGACCAGGCAAACTCCAGTGCATCCTGCTGAATGCACACAGGCAATATGTAGTAAATTATACTGTAAACATGTAGGCAACCTTTCAATAGCTGAACTTTGCTCCACTGATCGGCCAGACATTGCGCTGCCCGTAGCTTCAAACCATTAATTAACTTGACCGAGCTTCAACCCTTTAATTATGCAATATATGTATAACATGATTACAGTTGCCCCTGCAATGAAAGATTATTATGTGCTTATGCTAACACCTGAAATACAGACTTTACTATAACCTCACCAGTTTCAATAAATGTGTCCATGAAATGACAATAATGATAAATCATAAATGATGCAACAGCAATAATAAGGTTTATGGATGTAAAATAATATTTCATCTCGACTATATATATATATATATATATATATATATATATATATATATATATATATACACATACATATATACGACTATTGCTGGTTTAACTTTTTTCATCTTAAACTAGATCTTTTTACTTTTCAAGTTCTTCCACCTGGCGTTGCCTTCACTGCACTAAAGTCAACTCTATCCAGGATGTGCTCTGTGACGAGTGTGAGCAGCCTCGCTTGGAACCCCTCGGCTCTAAAGAAGAGGAATGTCAGCCTGCTACTATCATCGGTCTGTTATCCTTTGGTGTATCTCAGGCTCTAGCAATAGCATGTTGTTATCTTTTATTTTTCTGGGTTTTTTTCCTCAACATAGAAACTGATGGCTGGCACAGTGCTGCACTGTTTCCAAATGACATGGAGCTTCTTGGTTTGAACCATAGCCCGGCCAATAGTCAATATATTAGTAACTGCATAGAGGAAACCTCCTTCAACCATGTTACCAGTGTTATTATAACATAGTTTTTGTCCACCAGGGTGCGCTCTGCAGCCTCCCTGCTGGCAGTTCTGATCCGAGTTGTCGGGCAGAACATAAACAAGTAATCTACGACTTGTTGAAGCAGGAAAACGCCATTATTATTATTATACTATGTTGTCATTATCTTAGTTAGTATTCATAAAGAACATAAAATATTCATAAAAACTACACATAAGATCTACATGTAGATCTGTTTATGTTTAGTGTGTATTAAAAACCTCCATTATTTGTCGTGATCATTTTTTTCCTTTGTAACAGAGTAATTCTCACAAAGGCTTCTGTAAGAATTTTGTTGTAAAGCTCAGTTTGAGTAATAACGTTTGTCGCTGTTTTTTTAGAGTGGCAGTGTAAGAGCTGCACTATGGTGAATGCAGCCAGTAGTATTCTGTGTGAGGTTTGTGAACGACCTCGTTTGGCGACGCGACCTCCAGTGACCCCGTCGCACCCACCCATAACCCCACCCAGACCTCCAGCACCAGTATTGGGGATGCCCGGTGACCCTGACAGTCAGGTTAGGTGTGTGAGTGTGGTCACATTTCTGCGCTCATCCTGCTAGCTATCTGTTGCTAATAACATTTCATTACAGCGATTAGAGCATGCTGTAATTATTAAAGGTACTGCGCTGCAGTGGTTTAAGTCACATCTGTTTAAGGATTCATTTTTTTATAGTGCCAAATCACAACAGCAGTTGCCTAGAGGCTCTTTATGTTGTCCAAGACCCTACAATAATAGAAAGAAAGCCAGAAAATCACATGACATCATGAGGACTCCAATTTATTCATCAAATATCAAACCACCAACCTTGCGATCAGTAGATGACCTGCTGTACCTCCTGAGCTACAGCCACCCCAGTATGCCAGTATGAAGTGCCACATGCTCATACTGTAGACAGGAGCTTCCCTACAGGGGCCCCACCCAGGCCCCATAGTGGGGCTTCCAGGCAGGCCCCACATTTCATGCCTGTACCGAGACCTACACTACAGTACAATAATTTACATGTACAGAGGTGAGTGATCACTGTCAGGTTTACGGTTGTAATTTTGAGGCTTTAATAGTGTGAGTTAGATATGATTATCGTTCCTGATCATAACTCTTCATCAGCCGTTTAATGCTGTGGCTGTTCACCGCATACATGCCAACCCTCCCGATTTTTCTGGGAGAATCCTGAATATCAGTGCCCCTCCCAAAAATTTCCCCAAGCCACCATTCCTCCCGATTTTCCACCGGGACAACAAAATTAAAAAACCATATCCCAGATTTCATAGTGCGGTCCAGCCAATTCCAATTCCGATTTCCAACAATGGCGGCAGCGACTTAGTTTCAATATTACTCTTGTTACTCTTTCTGGGTCGTAAAATAAACTTTTAACATATTTTCAGGCGAGAATGTAGCTGAGTAAACTTCAAATATCTGAGCCGGAGAGAACAGCGAACTCCCAGCACATCGTTTTCAGACCCCCCGCGGTCTACTCAGGTTAAACATGATATATAAGTCACTTAAGATAACTTAAAATTATTTTTAACTTATTTAAGTTATTTTCTCCGTTAAATAAACACTGTAAAATTCATGTTTTTTATATATATATATACGCCCCCCTCCCCAATGTCTCCCTAATTCTGAGGTCTCAAGGTTGGCAAGTATGGTTCACCGTGGTTAGTGACTCTCTTCCTGTAACTCTGCTCCAGTGGGTGTGTCAGTTCTGCACATATCTGAACTACTCTCCGGCTATGGTGTGTGAGATGTGTGACCTGGCTCGCCCAGAGCCTGCACCGCTGCCAGTGAAGCTCCGCCCTCCCTCTCCTGTTAGACGTGTCCCTGCTCTGCCGATCAAACCGAAGGAACCTGCTCCTGAAGATCTGGACTCCTGGAGGCAGAATTTGATAAAGGAGGAGGGGCTAAAGCTGATTCAACTAATCAGAGCAAGTCACCGTACTGCCATTATATCTGCATACAGAATTCTTTTCATGTCTTAACTAGAGATGGCACGATACCACTTTTTTATGTCCGATACCGATACCGATATCATAAATTTGAATATCTGCCGATATCGATATGAATACGATATAGTGTATTTTTTAATCAATAAAACTGTTTTTTTAATATCTTGCTGCTTTTTGTATAAGTTCATACTCAAGTTAAAAAAAAAACACACTAAAGCTATTCTGTTAAACCTGTATGTAAAAATACACTGCACCCAAAATATTTCATAGTTCAGCAAAACTGATCAATCTAATAAACTTAAACCTGCTCCATCCTCCCTATTCTGGTATTTTGAAGAGTACTTAGCAGAAATATTAAGCAACCTAACTAATAGGGTTTCAAACTCCCAGCAAAAAAAAAACAAAAAAATAGGGAACCACCCCCCACCTCATAATACTTAATTGGCGTAAACAACTATAATTTGATGCAGTTTAAAAAAAAAATACACAGAAATCAATTATTTTTCAAGAACAATTAAATAGATTCAACATCTTTCTTTAACAGAACTGCACAGATGGTATCTTTCCAAAGGAAAAAGTACTATAGCTTACTAGGGTATATTAGACTTAATAGTTACTATATACAGTAATAGACTTCTATACATTTTACATCAGATTAAAACTTTGGGTGTAAGATTCGGATAATTATTTATTAAAAGCTAGACATTTTAAATGAGAATAAGAAAGAAAAGTATGTCTTTGTGCCCCCTTTTCCCTGTTCATGCCCTATCGGCCCCCCTGGCTAAACTTTGCTAGATCCGCCCCTGCACAGTTACCAGCCGTCAGCTGTAGAAAAAGATCCTGGTGTAGAAAGTAAATAAATTCTAACAACAGCTGATCAAGCTAAAACGTGCTGCTGTTGTTCAGCCGCTGGTTTCCTCTTTCTGGCGCAAAGTGAACAATAAACAAACAAGAGAGACGGACTCGCGACAGAAAAGCCGATCAGCTGATCATTGATTAGTTTCGATTGAAGTAGCAGCAGGAGAGAGAAGAGGCAGTCGCTCCATATATTGGTTGTTAAACTTAACGCTGGAATGCTTTACAAACACTCAGAGATGAACTTACACACTTGCTTTACTTCTCTCTGGGATCACTTCCTCGGAGATGAAATGCCGGATCGCTAGCGAGGCTGCAAATACACACAGCCGCTCTATCACGTGACCCGTTCTGCTGCGATGTGCTACGGTTATGAGCCGAGTCGCCGTGTCGCAAGTTTTGTGAGGTGCTTTTTTGATATTTAATGGATCGGATTACACTTTTTTATTTTTCTCCGATATCCGATCCAGTAATTGACGTCAGTATCGGACCGATACCGATACGTAATATCGGATCGGTCCATCTCTAGTCTTAACACAAGTTCGTTTGATCTTCATGTCTGTGTCAGCATGGGGAGAAGAAAGGAGTGAGTCCAGAGGAAGTATACACAAGCATGAGGGTAGCTGGGGACAGCAACATCCTGCCCTGCAAGTGGTTAAAGACTGAACTTCCCCTGCTTTTAGACCAGATCAGGATGTTGGTGGCGACATCGTCCTTTCAGTCATTTTCAGATAAGACCTCAACTGAAGACAAAGTCAGTAACCTCCTGTTAAACCTGACAAATCACTCTGACTATAGTTCTGTGTTTTCTGAAAGTGAAACTGTCCTGCTACACAGAATAACATAACACAGGATCTCACCAAGGAGGCTGGCAAAGTGGTAGATCTTGCAGAAACAGAAAGTGTGATCCAGCTTTCCAGAGCAGAAGCTAAACAAGCCTGGCTTACAGCAGGGGGTGACACAGAGAGAGCTGCCAGACAAGCTCTGAGAGACCGACTCGCCAAGGTGATGTTTGGTCAAACGTTTAGCATTGTTCCCTGATATTTCATGACTCCACCCTCTGTGTAGACATTCAATTATATTTCTTCATTCTATCCTATCAGGTAAAGGAGCTGTGTGCACTCGGCTTTAGTGATGAAAGTCACTGTCATGAGGTTTTACGGCAGAGTGGTGGTGAGGTAAGAGGAGCCTTGGCGTTGCTACAACGACCACTTCTGGAGCCCTTCCACAAACGCATCTGGAGTGAGAAACCTGAGCCTCCTGTCGATATCCACCATCCTGACAAGCAGGTAAAACCACAGCCGTGTGATGTCACTCACTGGTTTACGCTGGGGCCAGTTTAAAGCCCAGATCTTTAGTTTATGGCCACACCGGGGATTTTTATTTTGGAATTTGTAGGTTTTTTTCAAATGGGTCATCCTCATTTCTTTATATTTTGCTTCCAAGGAGTTGGGATTTCTTGGCATTTTTTAAAGTGGTCATTGTCTTTCTGAAGGCCATTTAAAGGTTTTCTTTGGACATTGCTGTTATTTCGCTCATTTTCAGTCCTGTCCTTGTTCTTGACCATTTTCAGTGTTAAGGTCCAGTTCAGTTCACTTTCATTTATATAGCTCCAAATCACAACAACATTTGCCTCAAGGTGCTTTATATTGTTAGCCAAAGACCCTACAGTAATACAGAGAAAACCCTCTATGAGTAGTGCTTGGTGACAGTGGGAAGGAAAAACTCTACAGCGTTATTTTTGTGTCTCTATTGTGAGTGCATGTATAAAAAAAAATGCAAGTGCAAATGTTGTATTTTGAGGAGAAAATGATTTTCAGTGCAGAAAAGTCGATTCGAGTGAACAAAATTAATTTCTGTGTTTGCTATTATCCACACACACACAATAACAGCCCCTCTCGCTCAGATCTCTGCTCTGTGTGCTCACAGACATCTGCAGACCGGCTCTCGGTGTGTCACTCTCACTCTCAAATAGTGCCGTGCGAATCATGAACGAATCGTTCAATACTTGAGAATCACTTTACTGACTCGTGAATCATGATTCACAAGCTCCTCCCGGTGGGACATGCCTGGAACACCTCACCCAGATGCCCGAACCACCTCAGCTGGCTCCTTTCGATGTGGAGCAGCAGCTGCTCTACTCTGAGCCCCTCCCGGATGGCCGAACTTCTCACCCTATCTCTAAGGGAGAGGCCAGCCACCCTTCGGAGGAAGCTCATTTCTGCCGCTTGTATCCACGATCTCGTTCTTTCGGTCACTACCCACAGCTCGTGGCCATAGGTGAGGGTAGGGACGTAGATCGACCGGTAAATTGAGAGCTTCGCTTTTACACTCAGCTCCCTCTTCACCACGACGGACCGGTGCAGCGTCCGCATTACTGCAGCTGCAGCCCCAATCCGTCTGTCGATCTCCGGCTCCCTTCTCCCATCACTCGCGAACAAGACCCCGAGATACTTGAACTCCTCCGCTTGGGGCAGAAACTCATCCCCGAACCGGAGTGGGCACTCCACCCTTTTCCGGCTGAGAACCATGGCCTCAGATTTGGAGGCGCTGATCCTCATTCCCGCTGCTTCACACTCGGCTGTGAACCGTTCCAGTGCGAGCTGGAGGCCCTCACCCGATGAAGCCAACAGAACCACATCATCCGCAAAAATCAGAGATGAGATTCTGAGGCCACCAAAGCGAAAGCCCTCCGCCACTTGGCTGCGCCTAGAAATCCTGTCCATAAAAATTATGAACAGAACCGGAGACAAAGGGCAGCCCTGGCGGAGCCCATCACCCACCGGGAACGAGTCCGACTTATTGCCGGCAATGCAAACCAAGCTCTTGTAACGGTTGTATAGGGATCGAATGGCCCATAGCAATGGGCCAGACACCCCATACTCCCGCAACACCTCACACAGGACACCCCGAGGGACACAGTCGAATGCCTTCTCCAAGTCCACAAAACACATGTAGACTGGTTGGGCAAACTCCCATGCACCCTCAAGTATCCTCGAGAGGATAAAGAGCTGGTCCAGTGTTCCGCGACCAGGGCGAAAACCGCATTGTTCCTCCTGTATCCGAGGTTCGACTAGCGGACGAACTCTCCTTTCCAGCACCCTGGCATAGACTTTCCCAGGGAGGCTGAGGAGTGTGATCCCCCTGTAGTTGGAACACACCCTCCGGTCCCCCTTCTTAAAGATGGGGACCACCACCCCAGTCTGCCAGTCCACAGGTACTACCCCTGATCTCCACGCAACATTGCAGAGGCGTGTCAACCAGGACAGCCCTACAACGTCCAGAGCCTTCAGGAACTCGGGGCGGACCTCATCAACACCAGGGGCTCTGCCACCAAGGAGTTGTTTAACTGCCTCAGTGACCTCGCCCCCGGAAATTGGCGGGTCATTCCCCTCATCCCCAGACTCTGCTTCCTCTTCGGAAGACGTGTCAGTGGGATTAAGGAGGTCCTCGAAGTATTCCTTCCACCGCCTGACAATTTTCTCAGTCGACGTCAGCAGCGCTCCGCCAGCACTATACACAGTGCAGGTAGAGCACCGCTTTCCCCTCCTGAGACGTCTGACGGTTTGCCAGAATCTCTTCGAGGCAGTCCGAAAGTCTTTTTCCATGGCCTCTCCGAACTCCTCCCACACCCGAGTTTTTGCTTCAGCCACTGCCCGAGCCGCATTCCGCTTGGCCTGTCGATACCTGTCGGCTGCCTCCGGAGTCCCACAGGCTAACCAAGCCCGATAGGACTCCTTCTTCAGCCTGGTGGCTCCCTTCACCTCTGGTGTCCACCATTTGGTTCGGGGATTACCACCACGGCAGGCACCAACCACCTTGCGGCCGCAGCTCAATGCAGCAGCTTCGGCAATGGAGACGCTGAACATGGTCCATTCGGACTCAATGTCCCCAGTCTCCCTCGGAATGCTGTTGAAGCTCTGCCGGAGGTGTGCGTTGAAGATCTCGCGGACTGGGGCCTCTGCTAGACGTTCCCAGCACACCCTCACTACGCGTTTAGGTGCACCAGGTCTGTCCAGCGTCCTCCCCCGCCACCTGATCCAACTCACCACCAGGTGGTGATCAGTTGACAGCTCAGCCCCTCTCTTTACCCGAGTGTCCAGAACATATGGTCGCAGGTCTGGTGATACGATTACAAAATCGATCATCGACCTACGGCCTAGAGCGTCCTGGTGCCACGTGCACTTATGGACACTCTTATGTTCGAACAGGGTGTTCGTTATGGCCAAACTGTGATTAGCACAGAAGTCCAATAACAAAGCACCGCTCGGCTTCAGATCAGGGAGGCCGTTCCTCCCAATCACGCCCCTCCAGGTCTCGCTGTCGTTACCCACGTGAGCATTGAAGTCTCCCAGCAGGACAACAGAGTCTCCAGGTGGAGCACCCTCCAGCACCCCCCCCCCCCCCAGGGACTCTAAGAAGGCTGGGTACTCCGAACTCGGAGCATAAGCGCAGATGACAGTCAGGACCCGTTCCCCGACCCTAAGGTGCAGGGAACAAACCCTCTCGTCCACCGGGAAAAACCCCAACGTACCGGCAGCAAGCCGAGGAGATATTAGAATACCCACCCCAGCCCGCCGCCTCTCACCAGGGGCAACTCCAGACTGAGACAGAGTCCAGCCCCTCTCTAGGAGACTGGTGAGCCCGACTATATGCGTAGAGGTGAGCCCGACTATATCTAGCCGGTACCTCTCAACCTCACGCACTAACTCAGGCTCCTTCCCCACCAGAGAGGTGACATTCCATGTCCCTATTGCCAGTCTTGGCAGCCGGGGGTCAGTCCGCCAGGGCCTCCGCTCCTGGCCGCCACCCGGCACACAATGCACCCGACCCCTATGGCGCGCCTCCTGCGGGTGGTGGGCCTGCGGGAGGATGGGCCCATGTCTCCTCTTCGGGCTGTGCCCGGCCGGGCCCCATGGACTAAGGCCCGGCCACCAGACGCTCGCCCTCGGGCACCCTCCCCGGGCCTGGCTCCAGGGCGGGGCCCCGGTAACCCTATCCCGGGCAGGTTAAACTGTTCCCTCGATATTCTTTTCATAAGGGTCTTCTGAATCGCTCTTTGTCTGGTCCCTCACCCAGGACCAATTTGCCATGGGAGACCCTACCAGGGGGCAAAAGGCCCCAGACAACATAGCCCCTGGGATCCCTGGGACACACAAACCCCTCCACCACGATAAAGTAGCGATTCAAGGAGGAGATCATTTTATTTTAAAATATAGAATTTTTTAAGACCATTGTTGGCTTTAATCTAGTTTAAACCAAACCACTCCACTGGATTTAGCTGGATCAGTCAGCTGAGACTGAAGAAGTCATTTGGATGAATAACAAATTATTTCTCCCACTGAAAACGCTACGTCCAGATGAACAAAATCCACTTTTGGGGATTAGTTATTTAAGACTCCAGATTTAACAGGAAGCCAGTGAAGAGAAGCCTTCAGGCTTCTCTTCACAGAAATGAGGAGTGACTTGCAACTGTTACACAGTACTTTACAAAGACACCATGTTTGGCATTACTGGTAGAAAATGTGAAGTCTATTTTAACATGATTTTATTGTTTTTTCAGCGTGTATGTCGGTGGCTTCTAGCAGTCTACGATCTACCCAGCTGGGGTCGCTGTGAGCTGGCACTGTCGCTTCTTCTGGAGCACAGCGCCCCCTATTCCCTAGAAGATGTGGTGCAGGCAGTGCAAGAGTCCCACGACAGGGAATTTATCAAGCGAGTGCTCGCCAAAGAATGTCCCATCTGCCTCTCGGTTTTCCCTCACAGCAAAGTTAGGGTTACTTGACAGATGCTTTTGAGTCACTAAATAATTTTCTGAATGATTTCCATTTCTTGATTTTCTACTTCCTCCCACCTCCCCTTCTCAGATGCAGTCTCTCACGTCGTGTCAGTGCTCTGTGTGCTGTGGTTGTTTTCAGCAGCACTTTACCATCGCTGTAAGGGACAAACACATCAGAGACATGGTGTGTCCAGTCTGTTGGGAGCCTGACATCAATGACCCCGAACACCTCAACAGCTACTTCTCCACCCTGGACATCCAGGTAGGAAGCAAATAAACCGGGAAAGGAATGAGAATGTCTCTCCTCTCTCTGACTGCTACATTGTCATCTTGTCAACCACAACTATAAAGCCTGCCATCACTTACAGTTCAGTAAAACAATGAACTGCATTTTTTTGTTTTTTCTTTGCTCAGTTGTTGTTTCTCTGCAGAGCTTTTCTAAAATGGATTAAATGTCTTGATGTTATATTAATGAGCAGAACATTGGCTTCACTCTGTTAGCTGTTAGCTGAGCAGGGTACGATTTAGTGTCTCTACTTCTTTGAGTTTATTTCCAATCCAATATTTTGGACAATGTACAAAATATACAAGAGGTTAATGTACCAACATTCTTGTACACAAACGTTTGGTTGCCAGAAAATTCAGTTGACAAACAACATCTAACTTTGCTGTTTGGGTTGAAAATGAATTACAGGCTGCTGAGCAGCAGTTTCAAAATGCTGTTTCCTGCAAGTTTTGGAGGGACTGATTATGTTTTTTCTCCTGTTTAACAGTAAAACATATTTTCATTCCTTTCTCAGATTATTATTTATGTCATCGATTATAGTTCTGCCCATAAAATATCAAAAACCTGAACATGTACACGACATGTATCTTTAGTTATTGCAATATTGTTTTTCTAGGCTTACTAATTATACAGAACTTTAATTTTTATTCCGATTTTTTTACATTCATGAGAGTAATATTGTAAGAGAGGGGTAGTAATCACTTTCATTTTGGTCATATCATTATGTCCTAATGCAGTGCATGTCCAGGTCAGTCTGTGGAACACCTGTGTTAGAGTTAGTGCGTTACAATCAGTGTTGAGGTCTGGAATCTTTATATTTCTATTACTGGAGACAAAGGGTGAAATGAAGTATTAATATTATATTAATACCTGTGATTGTGACTGTCAGCACCAGTTTTTATTCACAGTGGTGTGAGAAGGTGTTTGCCTCATTCCTGAGGTCCTATTTTTTGTATGTTTGTCATACTGAAATATTTCAGATCATCATACAAATTTAAATATTAGACAAAGATGACACAAGTAAACACAAAATGAGGGTGTTAGTATTATTGTTATGATAATAATAATAATTATTATTATTATTATTGTGGCCCTGTGTGGAAAAAGTGATTAAAAATTAAAAGCACTTTAAGAAATCTCTTAAATAAGACTTAAACAGGACCAGACATCCTGCTGTGATCCAAGGAAATTCAGGAACAAATGAGAACATAAGTAACTGATATCTCTTGTATAAAAAATAAGTATAAAAACATAGAAATGGTGAAAACATGGAACAGTGGTGAACCTTTCCAGGAGTGGCCGGCTGACCAAAGTTACACCAGGACTGACTCAATAGGAACATAAAGGCTCGTCTCAGTTTTGCCAGAAAACATCTTGATGATTGATGAATATTCTCTGGACTGACAAGACAAAACTTTAACTTTTTGGAAAGTGTGATGTGCCATTTCATCTGGAGTGAAAGTAGCACAGCATTTCAGAAAAGGAACATTACACCAACAGTAAAATATGGTGGTGGTAGTGTGATGGTCTGGGGCTGCCTCAGGACCTGAAGACTTGTTGTGGTAAATGGAACCATGAACTCTGCTGTCTACCAAAACATCCTGGAGGAAAATGTCCAGCCATCTGTTCATGACCTCAAGCTGAAGTGCACTTCTGTTCTGCAGCAGGACAATGATCCGAAACACACCAGCAAGTCCACCTCAGAGTCGCTGAAGAAAAACAAAATGAAGACTTTGGAGTCACTGTTCTGATCTGAACATGATTGCGATGCCATGGCACGACCTTAAAAAGGTTCAATCTCAAAAACCTTCCAGTTTGGCTGAATTACAACAATTTTGCAAAGACAAGTGGGCCGAAATTCCTCCACAGCGCTGTTAACGACTCATGCCAGTTATGTGTGGCTGTGTTCAGACAGGAATAGGACCCAAGGTGCAGACTCCGGAGACAGTCGTGAACTCAAAATATAACATAACTGGAAAAAATCAAACTAAACTTAAACCAGAGGACTGACAGAACACACAGCAAAATAAACGGTAAATCGCAACACAGATACCGAGAAACACAGGGCTTAAATACACAGAGGGAGCAATCTGGGAATGAATAACAGGAGGGAAACACAGCTGGGGCAAATCAGGCCTAACGAGACAAGGGGAAGCAAAACCAGATACATTAACCTCAGACAAGGACCTTCAAAATAAAACAGGAAACATGACACAAACTGAACTAAAGACACAGACTCGCACGCACTGCAACAGAGGGAACAGAGACGTGGGACCAGGGCAGACACAGACACTGACTGGACACGGGGATATAGCAACTAAGGATACACAGAGACGCCAACTAGACAAGGGGATACAGCTGACAGGGGAGACAGAGCAACTAGAGAAGACAGACATAAACCATAAGACAGAACTCAAAGAAAGCAAGACTAGAAATAATAAATAATATAATAAACTCAAAAACCCTGGGACAACGACCCAGGCATCCTAACAACTTATTTGAAACTCCTGATTGCAGTTTTTGCCTCAACCAGTTATTAGGGGGCAAGAGTTTTTTCACCCACCGCCGTATGTCTGGATTTTTTTCCTCTTAATAAGAAACACGTCACTTAGAAACGGCATTTTGTCTTTACTTGTGTTATTTTATTAAAGGTGTTCATATTTAAGAGTGACAAACATACAACGCATTGTTTGCAGTATGAGTAAAACCTGGGAAAGAGTGACCGACACCATACTTGGTGAAGATCTTCCAGAGATCTTCTACTCTGTACAAATGTTTTTACAGGAAGAACAGGACTAGTCGTGACAGGTAAATCAGTCTTTACATGTACATTCTGTGAAGTTAACGTTCTAAAACTTGGTCTTCACAGCTGCGAGAGTGTCTAGAGCCAGAAGTCTACGAGCTTTTTCACAAGAAGCTGACAGAGCAGGCTTTAATCAAGGACCCCAAATTTCTCTGGTGCTGTCACGTGAGTACAGGATCAATATTTGCAACAAAATCTCAATGAACAAATTACTTAATGTAATTACTTAATTTCTATTTAAAAGTGATGCAAGTTTGAGTACACGTTTTTGGATTATTGATGCTTCACATGTGTTAAAGATTCAATTTTCTTTATATGAAACAATAGTGCAGTAAGTAGTTTTGCAAACTTTGAAATTGAGTTGGTGACCAGTGAAGAGCTCACTTTTCCCAGATGGAAGCTATAGTCTTTAAGTCTGACGTCATTAGCCGTGCCTGGGCCCAAACTCTGCTGCAGGTTCATAGGTCAAACGATCACTGCGGCATCACTGAGAGTTGAAAAATTGTCTAAATTCTTCCATCTTTAATAAAATGATCAGCGTTCTGCTCTACCAGGTGTAACAATTGAGTTTAACATCCAGGCATCCATGAAAACGGAATTTATGACATTTGACGGAGTTAGAAGTTAGCAGGGAGTTAGCTTGCTAGCTTCTATCTAAATACAATATAGCATGTCCTGACTGAGGGAGTTCAGAAACAAATTCAAACGTACAGCTCTGTTATCACTTCCAACATAAATGAAGACAGAAAACTAAACAGCAGTGACGTTTGTAGGGTTACTGAAGTTTGGCTAGCTGGTACATGATGATGTGCTACGTGATCACTAGCGACACAGCTATTTTAGCATGACATAAACACAGTGAAGCTGGAGGATGAACACTAACTTCAGAGTCCGTGACACAGATGCAAAACAGACCCCAACACTCCCATCACAATGGCTCACAGGGAGAAGGTTCTATATGTAACTCCAGTGCTGGGAAAAATATTTACCTCTTCCCCAATTTCACTGCTGTACTAGACATGACAGGGTTAAAAATGAGAAGGAAAGCAGGTGAGAAACAAAGTCACTGATGTCTGTCAGTCTGGAACAGGGTACAGAACCATTTCAGAGGCACTGGGACTCCAGTAAACCATAATGAGAGCCAATGGACTATGTGTACGTTAGCATATGCTACTTCCGGTGCGGAAACTCCTGTGGGGAGCTTTGTTTCCGGTGTCCTATTCGCGCCTGGTTTACGGTCCAAAACAAGTTTAGCAAATGAATGAATCAAGCGGCGATTTACATTTCTATAGATGTCTCGGGCATTTACCCAATATATCTGTAAATGATGTTCATCGACTTGTTGATATTTTTCCCCCGCGCCTCAGAGCAAAAGAGAAAAGGGATTCAAATGTTATATTTCTCAGCTGTCCCTCGTTTATCGCGGGTGTTATGTTCTAAAAATAACCAGGATAGGTGAAATCAAGTAGCCGATTTTATTTTTTGACGGTGCAAAACGTTTGGTGGACATCGTGGACATAAAGCACTGCACTTCAGAGTCACATTGCTAGCGATGGATGCAGCGATTCTGTACTGTACAGGAGAGACATCACGGAGGAGATCGTCTGCAGCGATCAGGATGCAGGACACAATGTGACGTAAAAAAAAACGTGCAAACTTGCACTAAAAAATCCGTGAAACAGCGAGGTGAAAGGTGAACCACGTTATAGCGAGGGACCACTGTAATTTTGAAGGCAAGTCACAACATATCCTTCGTACATACTAATGTATAGAAACCGTTACCAGCAGTCATTCATTTTTTGTGTGGCTTTTTTCACGGTTTGTTAACATGCTGTGTAGGTGTGTACTTGACTAGCTGATCTCGACATAATGGGGGAAACATCTGGTTTGACTATTCTTCACCTGTAGTTTGAATGCTGAACATTTGCCTGTTTAAATCATAAGACCAGTCACGATACAGAGATGTGCTTCTGAATGTGGACGATGTGTCTTCTGCTGCAGTGATGCAGTTCTGCTTGTGTTGAGTGATGTAAACAACTGATCGATCTAAACGCTTTAAACATCAAAACTGATCATTAGATTTTGTATAACACAACAGCGGTGAGTGTTCCCACCTCTGCTCTTTGTAACTTAACGCAATCTTTCTGTTTTCGAGTTTTGGACATGGTTTTGGAGGATATCTTCGCAGTAGCGATTGACCGCAAAGTAAAGCTACCGGAAATATACAACCCCACATCCGGTCTCAAACCAGGAAGTTAGCATTTTCTCGTGCACAGGGTCAATATCTACAAATGAAGAAAAATGTTCCTATTTGGCATAACCTTTAAAAATGCTCACACACCCCAATGTGGCTGAATTAAAACAATTCTGCAAAGAGTGGGACAAAATTCTTCCACAACAATATGACTGACTCATTGCCAGTTATTAGTTCAGCAATTTATTTTGAAAAGGCTGTAATGAATGAATTAATCTTACCCTGTGTTCTTGCTTGCAGAGTGCTTGGTAACAACATGAGAGTCTGTGCACTCTGTGTCATGGAGCTTTCAAGATCCATTGAAATGATTTAATTAAAAACACCTTTTTACTTAAACAACTCAACCGAATACAAGAAGTCATTTTCATGGACTATGATTGCGTTATAGTGTTATTGTACAATGAAATTTCTATCTTGTCCTCTCCTTTCCCTTCTCGTGTTTGGTCTCCTCAGTGCTCATATGGATTCATCTATGATGGAGACCAGTTGAAGGTCACCTGTTTTCAATGTCGAAACAGTTTCTGTGCTCACTGTAAAAAGCCTGTAAGTTTCTCTTTGTGTATTCTTGTTTTCTTACCACCTTATGTTTGGTTTCACTTTTTCTGCAGAGCTGCAGTCTTATCCATTTGTTAAGCCATAAAAATATGACATTCCAAGCACATCTGCTCTTCACAACTCTTTTAAGAACCTTAACATTAAAGTTATGTCCTAAATAGTCCAAAAATACGAAACTGAAGGAATCATTACATTTCCCCCTCATAGTGGGGAAAACATAATAACAGTGTGCGATGGGGGTGGGGGGCTGGTATGAATAAAGAAAGAAAAAAGAATGCTTGGGCCTTGCTAGCATAATGGACGGGTTTTGACGGGGATGAAGCATCATCAAATTTGCTTCCAAGCCAAAGACTATAAAATATGATAAAGCATATCTCGCCTTTGGCTTCACCTGCACAGCGGTGGGTGATGAGGAGAGGCAGCAGTGTGTCGTCTGTCTTAAAGTGCAAGCTTGTGACAGTTTAAAGCCTAACAAGCTAAGATGCCACTTGGAGACAAAACATCCAGAGCACAAAGACAAGTCAGCTGACCTTTTCAGACAAAAACTGCTCAACAGTGTCTCTTTACTAAAGCTGCATCTGTGCTGGCAATGCTCAGCTCAGCTCCTATAAAGTTGCCTACCGAGCACTGTGTGAAAAACCGCACACAGTTACGGAGGAATTAATACTGTTTGCTGATAACGTATGTCAGATTCATTGATGAAGATGCTGAGGGAGGAATTGCTTTTCTGCAAACAAGTTCCTGCCAGAGCCAGCGCAGAGAAACTGTTCAAAAACATCGAGGACTGTGTGGGGATCTGCACAGACGGCTGTGGCTGGGAAGCCAGGAGGGCTGCAAGTGTTAATCGAACACGTCTCCCCCAATGTGCAGCGGACGCACTGTAAGATACACCGCGAAGCACTAGTGTCTAAACAGCTGAGTCCTGAGCTGAATGACATAATGAGTGATGTCGTCGCCACAGTCAACTGCATCAAAACACGACCTGTGAAAGCCTGGATTTTCTCCTCACTGTGTGAAGAAACGGGCTCCGGCCACAGCTCTGCATCACAGTGAGTTCCACCTGCTGTTACGTGGGACGGTGCCGTCCACGCTCTTTGAACTTCGAGAGGAGGTCTGCATGTTTTTGAATGAAGAGGGCAGTGATCTTACCAACAGATTTAACTGTAACAACGTTTTCATGAAACGGGCATACCTCAGTGACATGTTCCTGAAACTCAATGAACTGAATGTGCAGATGCAGGGCACAAACGCTCAGCTCCCACATCTGGCAGATAAACTCACATCACTTGTCAGAAAACTTGAGATGTGGCAGCAGCGAGTGAAAGATGGAAATGTGGACTCATCTGAGAATTTGAAATCATTTACTGAGACAACAAGCTGCAGAGTGATCTCATGCACGACGTCTGATTCAAAGACCCTGGCTGTACCACTATACTTACTCCCCCCCTTCCTTCTTTCACCTAATGGTATGATCCCAGTCTGTCTAGGAATGTAATGGGCAGCACGGTGTGCCCATCAAAATAAAGTCTCACCCCTGCCTCCAGGCTGTTAATAAGTGACACGTGGTGGGATGTATATATAATTATATTATGGGCTAGATGGGGCTCATAAGTTTGACACCCCTGGGCTAATATTTTATTTTGTGAAGTAGTCCTCGTAGACTTGTGCTTGTGTGCAATCCAAGCCTTTATAAATATTATAAATGTTTCTAATTTAAAAGAAAATGAAATATTATGTGATTATAAATATCTTTCTATGTAACTGTTACAATAGTAATTCATTTTTATATGCTCTGTTCTGTACTCATTGGTAAACATTGTTTGTGTGCAGTGGGAGTCTCAGCATGCTGGTCTGTCCTGTGAACAGTTCCAGTCCTGGAAAAGAGAGAATGATCCAGAATATCAGAGACAGGGCCTGGCTGGATACCTCAGAGACAACGGCATCAGTAAGTACACACATATGAACACACACAAACTCTGATTAGTTGTGTAAACGTAACCCATGGAGTCCTCTTCACTAAAGTCCTGTGATGCATGGGCAGCCAAGTTTGTGAATGTGATAACTTGAAAATGAGGCAAGACAATCCTGGTTACCTCAACCTTAAGGTTAAGGGCAGAGGTCAAGTTTTCTAAAAATTTGCTGCTGGTTCACCTGACACGACACAACACGGGGGCGGTCAGCTTGTTGCGTTTGTGTTTCCAGTTATTTCAGCTGTCACTTCCAGTCCTCTGACTGGACTGTCCTTAACCTCTTAAGCATACATGCCTAACCCTAAATGCGATCTCCTCGCTTTTGCCCCCGTATCTGGGGGTGTTGGTACTTAAGAGGTCAAGATTAGGGGTGCAACGATACTCGTATCGATATTGAACCGTTCGATACAGTGCTTTCGGTTCGGTACGCATATGTATCGAACAATACAAAATGTTTAATTTATTTTATCAACTTTTCTTCTGATGATGCTGTCTGTGTTGAGAGCTCAGTGGATCTGCGTTCGACTTATCCGCCTAGGCTGCACTGTCGAGCGCAGATCCACTGAGCACAGCGCAAGCTAGCAAGACAGAAGCTAAGCTCGTAGCAACATAGCAAACTGAACCTCCCCCACCCTCATTCAGATCTGGCGTTTGGAACTAATTTGGTCTTCATGTGAAGTATGACCCTGAAGGTCAAAAGTAAAACAGTATGTTGGATGTGCCATGCAATGCTCAATTACATTGGTGGGAACTAGTGCGTTAGCGCAGTTAGCTCGTTAACGTGTTGGCCGTCCAGCCCCACGCACGGGGCGATCCGCGGTAGCTCGTTAACGGAGATTTGCCGTGTTGTGGCGTTAACGACATTTCAGATTAACGCTGACAGCACTAGTGAGAACACAACGAATATGACTGCACATTTACTCTGACATCACCCTAGTGCAAAGACAAGTGGAAGCAGACAAAAACAACAAGCACGCATGCTACAAACTTTACCCGAGTCATTTAGACAGCCGTTAGCACAGGATTCTCCTTATGGGGACCTGATATGTTTAATATGCTGCTGAGAATATAGCCCAGAAGAAGCGTATAGTACAGCTTTTATTTTGGAAAGAGCCATTTCTCTGTAATAAACTCTCTTTTCCAAAGATGAGTGATTTCTCGATCTTAGATTTATTTTTTTTATTACTTTGTTGTTTCAGCAACATTAAATTTAAAAACTGTACTTTTGAGTTAAAATATATATTTATAATTTTAATAAATTACAAATTAAAAAGGCATGAACATTTTTTTTTTGTATTGAAAAAAATATCGAACCATGACACCAAAGTATCGAACCGAACCGAACCGTGAAGTTTGTGTATCGTTGCACCCCTAGTTAAGATATGTAGTATGCTGGGACCACTGCATACTACATATCTTAAGGAAAGGGGAGGCATAATTAACCAACTGGCCAGAGCTGAGGCAGTCGAGGTGGTAGTGGCATCTGACAAGGATGACTCCTCGTGGCATGTCTCAGTGGGGCCCCAGGGCAAACTCAGGACACAATGGAGAGATTATATCTCTCGGGTGGCCTGGGAACACTTTGGTGTGTAAAATGGATGGATGGATGGGAGCTACATTACCCAGCCTCCCACCCCTGAACCCACTGAACTAAGCCAGAAATCATAGCCCCCACCTCCCAAGATTCAGGCATGAGCTAACAGCAGGTTTGACTCCATGCTTTTTGCCCTTGTACCTAATTTCAACGGGCACTATGGCTGCACACACGGGATCTAAACCCACTCTTTCTCCAACAACGCCCAGAGTCAAACCAGAGTTTGGTAGACCAAGGTCTGCATGCAGCCTGAGTCCACCATAGCCTGGTGTACAGCCCTTTGGTGCCTTACTGGAACGTTGTACGTCACTCCCAGGCCAGGGGAAGGTGCTGGGAGGCCAGTGACACAGAAAACCTGTCCCACCTCCATCAGTGGGCGCTCCGTGTGGATGCCCGCACCAGCACTCCTGCCCTGTCGTCTGTGTGACTTCCTGTGAGATGGGTCCAGTGCCTGTAGCTCCCAGGACCTGAGGAGGGGAAGCAGAGGAGAACAGGTCAGTAGGGAGTTTCTGTGGGGCGCAACAGTCGGTGGTGCTGGAGGAGAGCCGAGGATTCTTCTCCTCGGGGCCGGCACAGGCAGATTCCCCACCGATGACTGTATCCACCCAGGGTCCTCCATCCACCGTAGTAGTTGGTTGTCCACCAAAGTCACTGCTGCATCAAGGCTCCCTGGCCGATGGCCGAGGACCCATTCTGCTGTCTTCTCAATGAGTTGGTACTTGACGACAAACTCCAGCAGCCACCTTTTCCTCCTTCCCAGGGTTTGACTGCAGCTACCTGGCTGCCATGACACGGAGCCTCCAAGCGTAGGCAAACGTGTGATCCTTTGCCTCCATCTGACAGCCCTTGAACCGGCGGTGGTGATCTTCTGGAGCAGATGTTCCCAAACTCTCCCCACGAGGGCAACAGCAGGCTCAGCATTGCTGTCTGGGCCTCCCCAGAGGGCAGGGGAGAGACCCGCAGCCCTGACTCTGCCCTCAGTCACTGCCATGGCTCTACGTAGCTTTGACACACCTCACAGCGATGCCTGGACTGGCTGCACATGCTGTGGGTCCAACATCTCTCATCATGTAGTTGATAGCGCCACTATGGCAAGCTTTGTGCTGCTGGTTAACACAACACAACACAGGGGTGGTCACAAACACTTCTTTTGCTGTATCTTTTGTGTTTCCGGGCTGGCTGCAGTGCAGCCACAAACGAAACCCTACTACCACACTCAGCTCAAGTCTTTCAAATTGATGCCATGTGTGAACTTCAGTGTTTAGTCCTGGCTTCTGCCAGTAATTTTTCTGATAAAAGTGGAAAACAAGAGCAAACTTTAACGTTTTATCATTAAAGCATCATAACTACTATATGATGACATGAGCCTGTCACGGTGGCGCATCATTGTGATGTCATAGGATGTTGTATTGAAAAAATAAAATGCAGTTTCATATGATATTCATTTGTTTTCACTCATCGTGAAGTTTGTTTCATCCATGGCCAAAAAAACCCACCATGAGAAGCTTTCTGTGGGACGTACAAATCTGAAACCAAACACTTACAGAGCTGAGCATATCTCTGTCTTATCATTATGGTAAATGGTAAATGGCCTGTATTTATATAGCGCTTTACTAGTCCCTAAGGACCCCAAAGCGCTTTACATATCCAGTCATCCACCCATTCACGCACACATTCACACACTGGTGATGGCAGCTACATTGTAGCCACAGCCACCCTGGGGCGCACTGACAGAGGCGAGGCTGCCGGACACTGGCGCCACCGGGCCCTCTGACCACCACCAGTAGGCAACGGGTGAAGTGTCTTGCCCAAAGACACAACGACCGAGACTGTCCAAGCCGGGGCTCGAACCAGCAACCTTCTGATTACAAGGCAAACTCCCAGCTCTTGAGCCACGATCGCCCCATGAACAGCCCATAATGCACTCTGTGTTGTGTTGCTGCTCTGCAAACTATGTCTCATGATGTCTATGTATGTTTCAGACAGGTCTGTGGTGTAAGTACACAAACATGCACATTTATGCATGCGTTGTTATCCTCCTGTCCATGCTGTGTAACCGAGTAAGGTTACAGTATATGAACCAAGGTATTGGGCCGCACCTCTGTTTGAATTCAGGTGTGCTCAGTCTGTTGCCACAGGTATATGACACCTAGACATGCAGTTTGCCTTTGTGTTATTCTAAAGAGCTCCCTGAATTTGAGTGTGATGCTGTAACATGATGCCACTGCTGAAACAAGTCAGCTGGTGAAAGTCTTCCCTCCTGAATATTCCACAATCAGCTTTAAGTGCTATTATTACAAAATGAAAGCGTTTAGGAGCCAAAGCAGCTCAGCCATATAAACTTACAGAGCAAGGTCATCGAGTGCTGAGATCCATGACATTAACTGTGTAACAAGTATATATAAGTAAAGTTAACTCATTTATGTCAGGAAAGGTGTTGAAAGTACGTCAGACTAAAATGGTTTTCTTGAATGTAATGCTACCTGTGTGTCCTCTCCTTCCTCCCTCCTTCTAGCTTGTCCTAACTGTCGCTTTCAGTATGCGCTGTCTAAAGGAGGCTGCATGCATTTCTGCTGCTCACAGTGTCGTTACCAGTTCTGCAGTGGCTGCAACAACCCTTTCCACACTGTAAGTCTGTCACATACAGTCCTCTTCATGGTGTCATTTTCCAAGGAGTCATTTGAGCCATGTGATACTCTACCTAGGATACATGTGTGACAGAGAGGTGTGGAGTAGTCATCTACTAATGCTCAGGCTGGTGGTTTAGTCCCTGGCTGCAACAGTCTGCATGCAAGTGCCCTTCTGCAAGGTACTAACCCCGCTGCTCTCCGATGTACACATTAGAGTGTAAGTGGGTGAATTAGGCCAGTTCTATAGAGCACTTTGAGTCCTCAGGTGAAGTAGAAAAAGAACCAGTCCACATCTGATTATTTCACACAGACTGTGGGTAGTGAAAACACGTGTACAACTTTGGCAATTTTCTCTTAGATTTATTTTTTATCCCTAAAAAAGGAGAGCAGCATGTGATCATTAAAACACTGTTTTTGATTTGTTTTGTGTGAAATCTTGAGTGACTGAAACAAAAGTAAGCACTTCATAACGCTGCAGACGAGGCACTGATCCTCATGTTTGATCTGGGCCACAGCATTTCTTGTTCTGAAGGTGCAACCTTTGACCTCAGCAGCTTTGGAAAAGGCTCTCCGACATAAATTCACTGATGACACGAATGCAGCACACAGATTTGTTTTCTTGTTTTTGGCTGTTTCACATGAGACATTCAAAACAGCTGTTGGCAGCTGCGGTGTTTGTTCAATTCATTGGTGTTTGGTGCAAAAGTTCATCAACATCTTTCCAGTAAACAGAAACCAGCATTGATGCATTCATTACAATTTAGTTTTGCGTGTATTTCATCTGGGAAAGTGGACGAAATGATGACACGTGTGAAGTTCAGTTGCACATTTTTATGTCCTGTCTTTTAAAAACACTATTAGTGTTTAGTGAAGGGTCACAGTTTCCTTTTGTTTTTTAATTTTTATTAATTTCAGTGTTACGTGAGCAGACTGAGGGGAAAAATAAAAATGGCTGTCGTTTTCTCTTTTGTTTCCCATCAGACCTGTGCAGTGGACCAGTGCACGGTGTCTGGACTGCATGCCCATCATCCTAGAGACTGTCTCTTCTATCTGAGAGACTGGGAACCATCCAGGCTGCAGGCTTTGCTCCAGGTAAACACACATACATGTAACTGTGGAATGACACACAAGGATGGGAAGAGAAGAGGGAAACAAGAGACAAGGACACACAAACACACATAAACACAGACACAGAGAGGACACAGAGGACAAAGACACAAGGGGAGCCTAAATGTGCAAAAAGCTAACATAGAATAAACTCAGGACTACAAAATGAACCTTAACCCTTTAAAGCCGGTCAGAGCGGGCACGCTCCGTTTTGCGTAATTACTTTTAAATCCTGGTAGCACTGCAACCACGTAAGCTAGCGCAATAATTTGTTTTGCATATGAAACCGGAGGAGTTGTACTTACATCTTATGCCATCAGCTTGTCCTCGGTCACAGTTTCCTTCCACATAAAGCTTTGCAAAAACTGCATAAAAAGCTCTTGCAGGAACAAAAACATAATATTCCAGAAACACGCTTTGCCGATCTGATCAGCTGTTCATAACACTTCCTAAGTTGGAATAGACGTCAGTGTGAACTATCACATGTCCGCCATGACCTGCCCGAAACCGGAAGTGATGTCATTTTGCAGAAATGTAGTCTTTTTTACCATCAGGGCCTCATGAGCCTATACTGGTGTTTTTAAAAGTTATCTTTGACTTTATGACTTTCTGTGTCGTTTCTGGGATGCTGAGGACTCATATTGCACTGCTGGAAATAGTTTATTTTGATGCATATGCTGCTTTTTTGCAAATTTGCATCATAATATTTATTTTTGTTTTTCCTGCAGTATATAAAAATTGGTGTATTTCAAAAATAAAACTATGAAGACACTTAAAATAAATTTCCTGTGGAAACTATTTTGTGCAACTTTTTTGTATTTACAGTTTTGAGGGATGAGCCTCTTAAATTTCTCTAACTAGAAATATATGTTAAAAAAAACAAAAACGATTTTAAATTTTTTGTAGTTTATTGCACTTTTTTGCAATAAATGTAATTACTATGCACTTAATGAATACATATTATTAGAATTTTGGCTCTAATGGTTGTATTGATGTATAGCAACTTGAAATGCTCCCAAAAATGGCTCCACAGTATGTAAAAATATAATATAAGCTCTGGCGGACTTGGTTCTATGGTAGGTCTTAAAGGGTTAAACCATAACACAAAATGACATAAAAACACAAGAAACTCAAAACACAGGGTCATGTGACCCAGGCCCATGACAGAGATGTTAGCGTGTTTAGAGCCGTTACTCGTTTCGTTTTGTCTCTTCTGTGTTTTTGCTGTCATCCTAAAGACCCTTCGTTCTTTTTCATGTGTTTATCTGGTCAGTGCCTGTTTTACGTCTCATCATATCTTATCTTCGTGACAGAATAACGGAGTTGCCTTCAACACTGAACCTCCTCCTGGAACTCAGACAGGTAGGCTGTTTCTTCCATCAAAGTTTTTGTTTCAATACTTTTGATGATGCTGTGGAGTTGTGCTCTTTCTAATATTTTCTCCATGGCATTCATATTAGTGAGGACACACTCAACGGCCCCACAAGTAAGTGGAAAACAGCACAGGGAAAGACACACTATAGGAGAGAGCCCAAGTTTAGTCATTACTGATGATTAAATACAGCAGAGGTGAAAGAGGTGCAGGCACAGGAGAATCAGAGAGTTGAGTCCACTGTCAGAGGCCACTGAAAGATCATTGTAACCTTCACGAGTGCTTTTCCTCTGCTCGAATGAATTCTGACTGAAACTCGTAAAATAAACCATGTGACTGCTGACAGAAGTAGCTGGATTAACTCTGTGTTTTAAACTACTCAGCTGTAAAAGGCTGATGCTGAGCAGGCGGCATGGACGCCCAACTAAGATTTCAAAATTCCTACCATGCGTCTACTAAAACGTCAGAATCCCAGTGTTTTCTGAAAACCTTGTAAGTGCTATAACTCAAGTAGAGAAGTGCATAACGTTTAATCTAAATAACTCTGCTTTTCATCTGGGAATTAAACAGAGTGCCTGAAACCTTGTATCTTTTCTAGGGTGTTCAATCAATGACAAACGTCCACCTTTGATTAGAATATTTGAACCAGGGATGCTTGATAATACTTAAACCAGTATCTCAAAATGCACATCATCCATCCATCCATTTTCAATCACTTATTTGGGTTTGAGTCATGGGGACAGCAGACTGTGATAATGTAATCTTTCCAGCGAGTTCTCCAGAGGGGAACAGAGTCCAACCCCTCTCCAGGAAGCTTGTTCGAGGGCTCAAGCTATGCTTTGAGGTGAGCCCGACTATATCTAGTAAGTAGTTCCTAACCTCACCCACTAGCTAAGGCTCCGTCCCCACCAGCAAGGTGACATTCCAGTACCAGTGTCAGAAGCCTGGATCGGAGCGCCAGGACCAGTGCCTGTGACTGACACACAATCCACTCCCAGTAACTCTATCCCAGGCAGGGTGCGCTGGACCCTTGGGTCGTTATAGTAACTAAGGGTGAAATGCAAATAAGATGTTTTTGAAAAAGTCACATCCAAGTAATCAGTGTTTTAAATACAGGCCATTTACCATTTGTATTTTAGGGAATTTGGTGGGCTCTGTAAATCCTTTCTTATTGCAAAGAAACTGGATTTGTTCCACTTCTGGCAAACTTACTCCACATTTGTCTGTTCCTCTTTGTACAGAAAGAGAAATGTGGTTCATCAAATGTCTTTTTCTTCTACCAGTTTAAAAAAGTTTGCAGCTGGGACGCTTTGGCCTATAGGTGACAGCTAAGACTTTAAATTTAATTAAATCACATGATTAGTTCGTTACCAGGCCTCTGGAGAACTTCAGGACATGTTGAGGAGCTAATTTAGCCATTTGAATCAGCTGTGTTGGATCATGGACACATCTAAAACCTGCAGGGACACCGGCCCTCGTGGACTGGGATTGCCCACCCCTGTTCTAGGCGCTGGGACATGCTTTCTGTAGGGTAATCTTTTTATATTTGCGTTCTTGAAAATGTAACCTGTTTCATTATACTGCGGTTATTAGGCACCTGGAGCCCTGGGACTGTACGGGGGTGGGTGGCCCGTAGCAGGGCTGGTTGCCGGTCACTTCTGGCCCTCTGGGACTGACAGCCTTTGGGCTCTCGCTCTTTCTCTCGTTCACACTCACGAACATTTGTATTTATGCTCCATCCTTTTATCAAACCCCCCCCCTTTTTTTTCTGCCTGTCCTACCTTAGATATCATACAGTATACCACTTATAATGTCACACCTGTAACTCTATTATGTCTTGATGAATAGAAATGAAGAAATAAACAGATAAACCCACAACAGTGCATTCAGATCAAAAAGCTGGCAGACAGGACAGGATTTAACAAGTAAATAAATCTCTACTCTGTCCTGGCTAGCTTAGTCATTCTTTTAAAGAATGTAACACGTTGTTGTTGATTTGACACCATGACTGGCTATCTTAGGAAATGTTCATACAAATTAATACTAATACATCTGAATTCAGTTTTATTTATACAGCCCCAAATCAAATCAACGGTTGTTGTTTCAAGGCACTTTATATTGTAAGGTAAAGACCCTACAATAATACAAAGAAAACAAAACCCCAACAATCATATGATTCCAAATGAGCGAGCACTTGGTGACAGTGGGAAGGAAAAACTCCCTTTTAACAGGAAGAAACCTGGCTGAATTAATGGAGTTCTGAATATTATAATGAATTTTTCAATTAAGGAATTTTTTGTATTGATTTTCACAGATGTTTTTCTATATTTTTAAATGGGTACCTCTCTTCCTTTTAGATCTGTGTGGAGTAATAGAGCAAAAAGATGAGGGCGGGCAGCAGTCAGATGCAGCCTGTGGAGCTCAGACCCAACCTGGACATGCTGGACTCTGCGAGTATGGAGCTTTTAATGAGTAGTATTTGCTTTGCTTGTAATATGTTCCTTAGATCCCAGAGTCTCTGGCAGTCCATAAGGAGCACTTGTCTTTAATCTTGTGTGACCCTTGTTGGTTGCTTCAAATGGCTTCAAAACACTATAGTTTAAAAAAAAGTGTGCTAAAAACTTTTTGAACACAAACAGAAATAAGGGAATTGATAATTAAAGTAATTCACAGTTCTTTGTCCTCTGTCTGTGTCCCAGAATACTTGAACTGCTCTTGTTAAACCATGCATAAAAATGATTCAGTTAAGTTCCATTTTATTTTTATAGTGCTAAATCGTTTGCCTCAATGCGGTTTACATTGTAAGTTAAAGACCTTACAGTTAAAAAGAAATCCCAAAAATCACATAACCCCCAATGAGCAAGCACTTGATGACATCAAAACACCAGCTCCTGGTAGATAGAGCAGTCACCCAAGACTATAAGACTCGACTGACCAACCTCTGCACTGCCTGGAATGACCACAAGAAAGCCTGTTACTCAATGCATCACACATCGATCCTGAATCCCTGAATCAGGAATTTGTTGGGGATCTGTTAAACAACACTAGAGGCCAACTTCTAGCCGATTGCGCAGGTCACCATCAATTGTGGGATCTACCAAGGAGATGCCCTGTCCTCACTGCTATTCTGCATAGGCCTGAACCCCCTTGGTGAATTCCTCTACATAACATGCTAGGGAGACTGACTACGAAATGAGGCAATCGTCAGCAACCTCCTCTACATGGATGGCAACAAGCTGTATGCTAATAGTGAATGAAAAATAAAAAAGAATAAAAAAGAATAGATAGATGGAAGCCACTGACATCAAGACAATGATTTTACTACCAGAAGGCAACACTGCAGATACTGTGAACAGCTGCAAGTACCTAGAAATCTCACAGGCAGATTGGAACCATGAAGAGGCCACCAGGTAAGCTGCAACCACTGAATACCTGCAGAGAGTAGGGTGAGTCCTGAGGAGTCAGCGTAATGGGAAGAACAAGATCTGGGCAGTCAACACCTACGCCCTGCCTGTCATCACATACCCTGCTGGGATAATGCTGGTCAAAGGAGGAGATAGAAGCCACTGACATCAAAACAAGGAAGCCCTTATCATGCATGGAGGGTTTCACCCCAAGTCCCGCACCCTGAGACTGTATGCTAATCACAAGGAAGGAGCCCAAGGACTAGTGAGTGTCAGAATCCCTGTCCAGGATGAAACAACCAATAAGTACATCAGAGGAGCAACAAGAGTAACCATCATGGAAGTACAGGCCCTTGTATGGTATGTCCAGATAGAAGAAATGGCTGATATCCAGAAATCCTACCAGTGGCTGGACAAAGCTGGACTGAAAGACAGCACAGAGGCACTAATCATGGCAGCACAAGAACAAGCTCTGAGCACAAGATCCATAGAGGCTGGGGTCTATCACACCAGGCAAGACCCCAGGTGCAGGCTGTGTAAAGATGCCCCAGAGACAATCCAGCACATAACAGCAGGGTGCAAGATGCTAGCAGGCAAGGCATACATAGAACGCCATAACCAAGTGGCCGGCATAGTGTACAGGAACATCTGTGCCGAGTATAACCTGGAAGTCCCGAGGTCAAAATGGGAGATGCCCCCAAGGGTGGTGGAGAATGACCGAGCTAAGATCCTGTGGGACTTCCAGATACAGACGGACAAAATGGTGGTGGCTAACCAACCGGACATAGTGGTGGTAGACAAACAGAAGAAGACGGCCGTAGTGATCGATGTAGCGGTTCCGAATGACAGCAATATCAGGAAGAAGGAACACGAGAAGCTGGAGAAATACCAAGGGCTCAGAGAAGAGCTCGAGAGGATGTGGAGGGTGAAGGTAACGGTGGTCCCCATGGTAATCGGAGCACTAGGTGCGGTGACTCCCAAGCTAGGCGAGTGGCTCCAGCAGATCCCGGGAATAACATCGGAGATCTCTGTCCAGAAGAGCGCAGTCCTGGGAACAGCTAAGATACTGCGCAGGACCCTCAAGCTCCCAGGCCTCTGGTAGAGGACCCGAGCTTGAAGGATAAACCGCCCACAGGGGCGAGAGGGGAATTTTTATATATGTATTCACACAAAATGAGCAACTCTGGTTGGCTTTGGCATATTTTTTTTAATCCCTATTTAAGACTCATTGATCATTGATATCACTTGATATATAAATAATTTTTTGGTGGTGTGCTGGTTTCTAGGAAGCATTACCGGGAGTACTTGGTGAGCCTGATCAATAGCCACTCCATTGACCCAGCACCGCTCTACAGCTCAAACGAGCTGCTGCTGGCCTGCAGGAGGTACAAGGTAGAGGACACCCACAGGGACGGGGAGGACACCTTCACCTACTACACCAGGCTTCTTGAGGTGAGGATCATTACCTATATACATTTCACTGCTGAACATAAGTTCATCATTTCATTTCATTGCTATGCTGGCCATCTTTAGTTCAGATGTGGATCGTTATTCTGCTATTGTTTAGGTCCACTGGTTTCTGGGAATGGTCACTGTAAATAACTTATCACCTTTACAATATAAAACATTTTTATCCTGACCGCAGCGGCCACGTTAACCATAAAGATGTAGAATTGGTTTCACAAAAAGCAAGTCTGCAAAGTTCATCCTAACCTAACTGAGCAACTTGGGACATGTAAGACTGCCCTGTTAGACTTCTACCACCAGCATGCAAACACCAACTGGTAGAATATTTTCATTAACCACCTCAGAGTTCAGGCAGAAATGGGGACCCTTCACAGTTAATGGTAAAATTTAATACCCAAAATTAAATGAAAAAATGAATGACATCGAGTTAATGAGGAAGTGGTTGTATAAGTAGCACAGTGAGCTTTCCCCTCTCCCTGTTCCCTGTTAACTGAGTGGTGGGTTCCAAAAGATGACACACCAGTTAGAAGTAGGCTGGGTGTTATTTGAAAGGTTTTGGTCTAAATATTCTGTTTTAGTTTTCATAAGCAGGCGTGAGCGTGGTTGGTTTTGTTGTGTTTTGTTTATATAGCCGTAACACTTGCATCCACACTCATCATATTATTGATGCTGCTGTACTTATGTCATCCGTGTGTATTGTATTGGTTTTTATACAGTATGTTTTTTTGTGTCTGGTACAGACGCTGGCCAGAGAATGAATCTTTAATTGGCTTATTGAGCTTTGTCTCACAGCAGCTGTAGCCCCAGAAATATGATTTTGTATTTTTATTACCTACATTGAATACTGGGGATGGGTATCGTTTAGGTTTTATCCGATAACGGTGCCAAACCGGCACTTTTGAAACGGTGCCGGTGCTCAAACCGGTGCTTAAAGAATGGAGAACACAAAATTGGTCCAAAAACCTCTCATGTTCAGCTGGTTTTTGTAAAAAGATAACAATGTTAGCCTTTTCTGCAGCTATGGGGCATATATGGCATCACTCTTGGCTGGAAGCAGTGCTTAAACAATGGAAAAAACAAACTTTGTCCAAAAACCTCTCATGTTTACCTGTTTTCCACTTATTCTTTGGTCATTTTAGCCTTTTTGGCCAGGGTGAAGGGAGTATCTGCCATCAAACAAGAAGACAGCCGCATGTAGCTATGATGGTGTTTGCTAGTTCACCTTACATGCATTAATGTAATAACGTGGTTAGCCTACTCAACGTAAATTACACACGAACAACATTAAGCTACTCATGCAGAGAAGAACGGCTGCTGCTGCATCATCATCCTCATCATTTCTGCTACACTGGCAGGGCAGGGCCAGGACTCTATTCTTCGTGTTTTTGGGGGATGTTGCTCCGGGTCCGATAACAGGCACCACACCCGCAGTAGATGTGCTCGGTGTGAGGTCTCGCAGCAAGCTATCAAATATCAAGACCAGACTTTGACCGCTTCACCTTGGACATTTTTAATCTGTAGCTCTGCTCTAAAAGAACGTACGTACCTGGGCCCGCCTACTATCCTCGGAAACGTAAAATGATTGGCTAGAAGTGTATCACAGCTCAGGAAAAAAAGCACCAAAAAAAAGTACCGAAATGTGCGCTGCTTTTCGGTCTGGTTACTACCGTTTATGTCAGAACCGGTGCCATCATAGCACCGGACACCGGTACCCATCCCTACTGAATACTGACTCTAAAGACATTTTGTGTGTTTCATAGAGCATCTTTGCTTCACCAGAATGTATTTTGTGTTTTGGCCATCTGCATGACTATAAGGTATGTTAAAATCACCGTTGTGGTGTCTTTTCAGAAACTGATGGATGAAGTACCGCTCGGTGATAAGGTGCCACGAAAGAAGTAGAGGATGCTCAGTTCCTGTTTTATATCATTTGTAACTACATTAACCGTTCAACTTAAAACTCAGCAACAAGACAAGATGATCCAGAAGATCCCTGTTTTTCAGGTGGACAATGTATTAGTGTTCACTTATACCTCTGTGATAGTGTAAATAAATAGTTTGACTTTGTCAGAAAACCACATTTCAAAATCAACGTATGTGAGCTGGAACATGAGACAAGCTCTGACTAAATCATTTAAATCAGCTGAATGTTCTTTTGTGTAAAACTGTTGAGCAACAACATTTCTTTACATTTTTCTTCCGCAGAGAGACTTTCTTGAGCAATAGTTCTTCAGGTTTTCTCAAGTTTTTTCAAAGTTTGGATGTTGCCTGCTTTTCACTTACAGTTATGTAACACTGACCTATAACTCATTCAAGCATAAAAAATGCTCCTAACTCAAGAGATGAACCAGTGATGTGTCCTCACATATCAAACTACGTCACAAAGAAATCAATTTTAAATCATATTTGTAGGCACACTTGCAGCCTTCCAAAAACACAGTGTGTTTCCCCTTCTTTAGGTATGTCTGTGAAAAATGCCAAAGATATCACATTTTGACAGGCATAGAATAATATTTCTGTACCAACAAGGTGATTGCTAAAGAACAGCATCATGGCCGAGGGAATTACAAAAAACTGTCTACAGCAGATAAACAACATCTACAAATCACGTCCTAAAAAAGGAAGAAAAATCTGTCAAAGCTCCGACACAGGAACTGAGTGATTTACGTGATTTGTTTCTCTTAAGGAAGGGAAACAGAGAAAAGGCCGAACTACACAAGAACCGGACTGAAATGAGTGGCAACAGATCTTAAATCATCATCAATATGGACGAAGGATATCAGGGAGGTACAGTAGTGAATATCAACAGAGTTTAGTTCCAAAAGCCGCGTTTCAGCTTTTGGACTTTAGAATTGTACAGACGTTGTTTTTGGCTTCCATGTGTGTTTCAATACGTTTCAAAAATCACTGCACTTGCTCCCATTTTCCTCGCAAAATTCAAAGAAGTGAGAGTTGCTTTGAGACGTTTACACAGTACTGTACACTGAGGCTTTGCTTCTTTTTTCCTCAAATGAACAGCCAGTATTTCGGCTGGATCTTTTTATTGTGCCAACCAAATAAAACAAAACTTTCCTCTTTTCTCAAACTCGCTGTTTCACTCCCCAGCTGTGAGACGTAGCCTTACTTATATAATACACAGATGTGAATACAAGGGCAAATACTTTTATTTTCAATTGGCTTCAGCAGCAAATGAATCACTAAGGTAGCGATATATATTTTTTTTGTTTTACTACGTTACCAAAGTTTATTGAAAGATGTATTGAAATCAGCTTGACTGTAACATTGGATTTGATTGGAGCAAATTAACATCTTATTGAAATTATAAGTGCTTGCATCACTACGTAAGCTCACATAAGAGCTTACTTAGTGATTAAGTAAGTTAACCTAATTAATCTTAAGTAAGTTAAGAGCCAAGAGAATAAAAGTTGTCCACTCTGCAGGGATGAAAACAAATGAAGGATTGTAAACTCAGAATCTACAGGTGACTGCATGTTTTGCAAAGGCTGTTACTGCAGAAAGTAAACAAGTTCTATTGATACATAAAAATTCATCTTTTATTTCCTTTCTTATAAAATGCTACATTTCCACAACTTTGTTTTTACTGGCCATTTGAGAGTGGTAGGTTGCATGTAAAAATCAGAATGCTTACACTTGACAGACAGATAATGGTTTGACCAAATGAATAACATACTGAGAGTTTAAAAGCTGCCGTTTGTAATAAGCAAGAACATAAGTCCCTGTGAAAGTGTATTCTGTGTCATGTACTGTGTCTAATAAAGCATTCATAACATGACTGATACCCTTTTTATACAGTTTGGTAATGTTTATGCTGATCATCTGGTTAATCTACACACGAAGCAGATGAACCATACAACATATACAATATGATGTGGTGCGTAGCAACAGTCACAGACATGACTCTAAACAGGACATTCGAGGAACCGTATTAAATATTGCCGTGAATGGAAATAAAATTTGACAATCTGCAAATTATGCAGAGCCTGTATTTATGTGATTTTACAACAAATCCAGTTCGGAAACAGTGATCAGAAGAATCGTTCATGCTAAAATCATGTTCTGTAACATGTGTGTGTCGTATGTCATCAATACAATCCCATACCATTGAGAATATAGGGTACGAGCTCTGTGCTAGACCCAAGATGTAGCGTCCAGGACCGTTGAGTGGTTCTTTGTCCAAAGAAGGCTCCAGCATTTCTAGGTCTTGCATATATGATGTTAGGCTGGAGTACTAGCATTTGGCAGTCGTTCACTGAAACTCTCACTATGACATAGGACGCAGGGTTAAGAAAACTTTTCACAACATTTTGATGTGGAGGAGTGGAAGCTCTACTCTGAGCCCCTCCTTTATAACCGAGTTCCTCACCCCATCATTAAGGGAGAGCCTACTACCTCACCCGTCGAAAGAAGCTCATTTGCACCTCTTGTATTTCAGTCTCATTCTTTCAGTTACTACCCAGAGCTCCTAACCAACTTAATAACAGCCACGATTATTTCAGTTATGTTCCTACTCCACAGTTGAGGGTAGGAACATAGATCAACCAGTAAATTGACAGTTTCACTTTTATGCTCACAACAGCCTAGAACAGCATCCATCTCACTCCATCTGTCAATCTCATGCTCTGCTCTCACATCCCCAAGATACTTAAACTCTTCTGTTAGGTCTATACTTGTAGACCTCGCTGACTCAGAGACTTATTCCCGTGAACAAAGCAAGACAGAGCGCGATCCATTTTAACTTGCAAGGGGAGCCGATCGGACCAGGGTCTTGGAGCTGCGAGTTCCTCACCTGATCCCAGACAACTCCAAACTCCGGCCCCCTCTCGCAGCTCTTTTATTAACTCGGTGGTCACACAATCATCTCATTAATCATGCAACAGATAAAACACTCACATGTGAACATCTGTTGTGTGTGTGTCTATGAGCATGTGATGTGATATGTGTATGTGTGTCTGTGTAGGAAACAGGTGAGCATTCATGCTAAAGACCTAATCACCTTGCACGATGACAATCATATTGAGCCACAATTCTCTAACATCTTCCACTCGGGGAAACAACTCATCAACAACCTGGAATGGGCAGCTGATAACAGTGGTTGGACCTCCTGAGTCCCATCCTGGGTGCTTCACACGTGCCTGCAAACCAGTCTAGTGCAAGCTGGAGGTCACTGCCTGATAAGGCCACAACCAGAACAGAAACCACATCGCTCCTGCTGAATCTGAGGTGCAACTAACAAATGGAACCCTCTGCTGCACCCTGGCATAGCCCCTCCAAGAAGGCTGAAAAGTGAGAGCCCTCGGAAATCAGAGCACATGCTCCAGTCCCCTTTCTTGAGAAGGGGTACCACCACACTTATCTGCCAGTCCGGTCACAGGCATTGTGACCAACTTCCATGTGATACTGAAGAGACATCTGGCTTCATGGACACATAGAGCTGGGTGTCACCTGCATAGCAATGAAAATGTATGCTATGCCTTTTAATGATATTGCCTAAGGGAAGCATGTATAATGTAAATAGAGCAGGAAAACAATTTCTGTGATGATAAACAATCATAAACATAGAAAACATTTAATTTAATCTTTCAAAGCAGAAAAACAAATACTGCCGTTTTTAGCTCTTTCTACACCTTAAATTTCCAATCCTGGCTTGATAAACAGTCATGATTGTTTGAATGCTTCTACTCTCATATTAGTTAACAGTAACAATGTTTCATCAAACTAAAAGGATTATCTTCAACTTTTGATTTTGAAGTTAGCTCGTGGGTAACTTCCTGAAACTTGACGAGTCACTCAGAGGACTGAAGGCGGTGCTCTCTAGCACTGACCTGGAGCCAGTGGCAGTGATATCTAGTTTTATTGTAACTGAGGAGATTGTATATGTATTTTATTGTATTGTAAGCATACAATACTTTTTAAAACTACTACTGTGAATTGCATTTCTTATGACTATCCATCCATTTTCTTTCGCTTATCCGGGGGCGATTAGAGGAACGGCAGCCTAAGCACAGAAGCCCAGACCTCATGTCTGGGGGAACATCAAGCCGTTCTCTGACCTGAGGCCTCCTCCCATTGGGAACACCTCACCAAGGGGCCATCCTTATCAGATGCCCGGACCATCTCAGCTGCCACCTTTCAATTTGGAGGAGTAGCAGCTCTACTCTGAGCCCCTTTCAGATGGTTGAACTCCTCGCCCTAAGGGAGAGGCCAGCCACCCTTTGGAGAAAGCTCATTTACGCTGTTTGTGTCTGCAATTTCGTTCTTTCGGTCACTACCATAGGTGAGGGTAGGAACATAGCTCGACTGGTAAATCAAGAGCTATGCTTGTACGTTCAGCTCCCTCTTCATTACGATGGGCTGGTACAGGGTCTGCATCACTGCAGCTAAGCACCGATAAATCTGTCGATCTCCTGCTCCCCTCTCTCCTCACTCGTGAATAAGACCTCAAGATATTTAAACTCCTCCACTTGGAGCAGCAACTCATCCTTGACCTGGTGTGAGCACTCCACTCTGGATGAGGACCGTGGCCTCAAACTTGGAGGTGCTGATTCTCATTCCTGCCACTTCACATTTAGCTGTGAACCACTCCAGTGTGAGCTGGAGGCCACCACCTAATGAAGCCAACAGAAACACACGATCTGTGAAAAGCAGAGATGAGAATCTGAGATGATCCAAGTAGAAGCCTTTTCCCACTTGGCTAAAAGTACAAATTCTGTTCTCTTCAATAAAAATGAACTGCAATAGTGACAAAGGGCAGCCCTGATGGAGCGAAACTTATTGCTGACAATGTGAACCAAGCTCTTGCAACAGTTGAATAAAAATGCAATGGCTTGTAGCAACAGGCCGAACACCCCATACTGCTGAAGTACTTCCAGTAGAATTCTCTGACATGTAGACTGGTTGGGCAAACTCCCAAATATCTTAGAGTGGATAAAGAGCTGGTCCTGTGTTTCACAACCAGGACAAATACCACATTGTTTCTCCTGAATCCTAGGTTTGACCAACAGACAGACTCACCCTCCTGTACCCTGCTATAGACTTTCCTGGAGAGGCTGAGGAATGTGATTCCCCTATAGTTGGAGCACACCCTTCAGTCCTCCTTCTTGAAGATGAGAACCACATCCCCAGTCTGCAAATCCAGAGGTACCACCCTAGATATCCATGCTACATTGTAGAGGAATGTCAACCAGCAACAGCCTGGTTTAACTGCCTCAGTGACAACACCCCCAGTGACGAATGAGCCGCCCCCTTATCCCCTCGTCCTGCTTCAGAAGATGTGTCAGTGGGATTAAGCAGGTCCTCAAAGTATTCCTTCCACCGCCCGACAACATCCTCAGCTGAGGTCAGCAGCACTACACCTGCACTATACACAGTGTAGCTATGACTGTCTACAAGGGCTAAGTGCATACTCTGTTCAATGTAAGCATGGTTAGCTTTAAAAAAAAGAAAGAAGAAGATTTGAGTAAGATAAACATGATGTTTGATGTTTCATTGTAAAATATCACTCAGCAGTGACTCCATGACCCACAAGCACCTCCACTCAGTGACCATGGGATATTTCTTTTTAGATTGAGCACTGACACATATTTATTGTATTTTTAATTGTGGTGTTTCATAGGAATTACCACACCAGACTTTGAATGTTCTATATGAAAATCAAGTGCCTTTTATGTGACACTGGCTCATTAGTCAAAGTGTACTTTAAGTCTTCCTTATATGCATTTTTTTTTAGGCTACCTTTTTAACAACTGGTAAGGAGCAAGAGATTAAAAGATGAAATGTTGCCCTTACAGTGCTTTCTCCTTAGTAGGTCAGTGAGAACTCTCCATGTAAACGAAAACATTTGCTTTGCCCTGTCCATATTTCTCAGAGTAGTTAATGTCCTTGTGTTCTTCCCACTTTGTTGCCACAGTATGTGGAAGGTTTGAGTGGGAGGCAAACCTCCCGTAAGAGCATGGACCGCAACGTCCTGCAGATGCTGCTGAGTTAACAGCTGGATCTGTCCATGGTGCTGAAACCGTGTTCAGGCCTCCGGATGTTTCTATCCTGGTTCACATATCAGCTGCATGCTTTTAGTTACACTGAGAGGGACATGTTTGCTCTTCATGGCTGATTTAGGAGAGTCTTTGTATTGTAACAGCGCTCAAATGATAAGGAAACTGCCGAGAGACGGAAAACAGCAAAGAGAGGGAGAGTCGAGGGGGTTGGGGGAGATGATGTCATAGTTTTTAGTCTGTGCCAAGCAGATGGCTGCAGCCGTCCTCCTGTCGCTTAGCTCCTGCTTCCATCTCCATCCCAAACATCAGCCTCAGCTCCGGTGACTTACAAGCGCTGGAAACGGAAGCCGTTTAGAAGGACACAAAGCGGAAACGTCCTCGTGTGCGCTGTATGTGAGCGAATGATCCTCGAAGCATAGTCCAAATCTGATATGGACGAAAATACCGGACCAAGCACGGGGCTTCGATCGCTCTTCACTTTTGTCTTCATTCTGTATTATGACCAGACGACAGTGTGGACGAGCTAGTCCTGCCCAGAAAGGAGGAGGAGGAGTAGGAGACACACGCACAAGGGTGTCGACGGAGAGAGGCAGGAGCAGAGGAGCTAAGGCGGGGAGCAACCGGGGGAAATAGACTAGCTAATACATCAAGATACTGATAATGGCTGCTAAATCGGACGGGGTCCTGAAGATGAAGAAGAGCGACGTGGCCTTCACCCCTCTGCAAAACTCGGAGCACTCTGGCTCGGTGCAGGGACTCCACCCGGGCGGCCAGCTGGACTCTGCGGGCACCGGGGACGGGGATTTTGCCAACGGGGAGTCGCGGTGCTGCGGTGGGGGAGGCTCAAACTCGACGTGCCTTCGTCTGGGAAAAGGGCAGCAGAAATATACGGTGTGGGACTGCTTGTGGATCGTAGCCGCCGTGGCCGTTTATTTGGCCGATGTGGGCACCGACGTGTGGCTGTCGGTCGACTACTACCTCCGCCACGACTATTGGTGGTTCGGCCCGACGCTCTTTTTCGTTGTGTTGGGTTCCTTCTCGGTCCAGCTCTTTAGCTTCAGATGGTTCGTCCACGACTTCAGCACCGAGGACGGTGCCGATTCTGTCACCGATTGCTCCCTCATGGATGGGAATAAATTGCTTAGCGGCTCGGCCTCACACGGTGATGTTACTGCTCAACACCACCCGGCCACGCCGCAGAGGCAGGCATCGACCGCCAGCAAGAACACCACCACTAACAGCACGGCGAGCACAGCGCTGGGAAACAGGAATAGGAAACGCTCGGCCTACTACTCCTTCTGTGTGTGGTTCGGCCAGTCCGTCATTCACATCATGCAGCTGGGCCAGATATGGAGGTAGGATGGAGGCCTTGGGCTGGCGTGCAAATGTATGTGTTTAAAATATTTAAATGACAGAGCAGAGGGCTGCTTTTAGGACCAGCTGCCATCTTTAGCCCCCCACACACATGTTCCTGTGTTTACCTCTCCACCCTGTGTTAAAAACACGGGAAACTAGCCCAGGCCTCCCAGTCACAAAGGTAGTGGTGCCTTTGTGGAACAAATGTTGTGGCTCCTTTCTGTTGTCCTTTAAAACAAATGTAGATATATTGAGTCCAAGCTTAAGTCCTTTGCTGTGTGTCTTTCTCCCATTTCATCGTCCACTCTCCACTACTACACTATCTACTAAAGGCAAAAGGCTGAAAGAAAAGTTTCATTCATTAGTAGTAGACCATTGTAATATACGTTCACAGTTTGAACTAAACTGAATCTGTTGTACACGTTCTAAGGTTTGCACCTATAGACCTGAAGGAAGAAGGTGTTGTGGCACTTTAATCACCTCTGACAAACTTTATTTCCGTTAACATTAACATTTTTCCTCCTTTATTCCTCGAACAGCAGAGAGATTCAAACGATGCAGATTTACAAAATCTGCAACTTGTGAATTGGTTTATGCATTTTCAGCTCAGAGTGAAGTATGTGTATAAGTATATAGTTTGCAGCATAACTATGCTGCAATAGGCATAGGCTGCTGGGGGAATCCCATGATGCATTGAGTTTTTCCTTTCCAGTCACCTTTCTCACTCACTATGTGTTAATAGACCTCTCTGCATTGAATCAGTATTATTGTAGGGTCTACCTTACAATATAAAGCGCCTTGAGGCGACTGCTGTTGTGATTTGCTGCTGTATAAATAAAATTGAATTGAATATTTGTCGGTTTGTGAGGCTCTGCCTTCTTCCTGAAACCAGTCAGAGTAACACCTTAAAATCTGGACAAATCATTTGTCGAGGTTGTTTGGTGTTTGTTTATTCACAGTGGATTCTAAGTAACCTAAATAACAAATATCTCCAACGACAAAGGAAGAAAGATTTCTTTCTTTAAAATCGTGAAGTATTATACTGGCCTTGTCAGAAAAGGCCCTGTTCCATGGTGAGATTGCTTTCTCTGTGTTTGTGCAGAGCAGGGCGGAGCCCTTATTTACAGACCTTTGATGCACAGGTAGGCTAATGCATCTGTTTTGTATTGGAAAAGTAACCACAAAGGAAAGGTTGTATTTTGGACACATTTTTGAATATCAGTTCTCATTGTTTTGTTTTTTTTCCACAATGTGTTTTGCAAGCCTTTACCCAAACTTTCTGGTTAAAATGAACATAAAGTTCCTTTTGAAAATGTCTGACTCTTTTATTTGAAAAAAATCATGCAGTCCGGTTTCTTTGAAGGCGGCTGTTTCTGTGCCAGACCCATAAAGGCGATTACCATTACAACGTATAATGTGGAAGGACAGACACAGGGCTGTAAAGCCAAATCTCAGACGGGGTTTGGACTTTGTGTTGTTTGATATACAAACAGTTTGTGGGACTTTATCATTTTCAACATCTGTTGGAAAAGAACAAATTCCAAGAGAATTACTGTGACTTATATGAATCCTTATGTAGAGAGTATATTAGCCTGTCATTATAAACACAATGGTAACTTTAGATGGGAGGACCTAAGGTGTTATTCATCATCCAATAACTTTATAAATAGTGCACACTGAGGTCCTTAAGGTAAGATAGAGCCTGATTCTTCAAGACCTTTAAATGCAGAGATAATTCTGGATTTAACAGGGAGCCAATATAAGAGATATATGCTCTGTCTTTATAATCCCTGTTGGTTCTTACTGCAGCATTTTGAATCGGTCGAAGGCTTTCGGGGAGTTTTTATTTAATAATGAATTTCAATAGTCTAGCCTAGAAGTAATAAATGCGTAAATGAATTTTTCAGCTTCACTGTGAGAGGACACGTTTCTAATTTTAGTGAGCTTGAACAAATGCCAGAAAGCAGTCCTGCATATTTGTTTAACGTGTGCATTGAATGACAGAGTATCTAGTTAGACACCGAGTACAATAACCTGAGTTTTATCTGAATTTAGAAGCAGGAAATCAGAGGTCATCCAGGTCTTTATGTCTTAAGTTTAACTAATTGTGTTGTCCTGTGAAACACCCAGGACCATGACATATCTGACTTCACGGATCGATAAGATCGATATTATTTGCAAAGGAATTAAATGCTATGCTATGCCTTTTAATTAACACTACCAAAGGGAAGCATATATATTGTAGATAAAACTGGTATTAGCATAGAACTCTGTGGAATGCCATAATAAAGCTGTATGTGTGAAGAAGACTCGCTGTTTACGTGAAAACATTTGAATGTATTATGTGGAGTTTAAAGCTCTACCACCTGAGCTACAACCAGCCGCAGCTCAGGTGGTAGAGCAGGTCAAATAGACCATTCCTCTGCAGACGATCGGTTAAATCAGTAAAAGCTGGGTGAAGTGGTCACTTTTTAAGTAATTGTTTAATTACTGCCACCTTAAAGGCTTGTAATACGTATCCCATTCATAGAGACAGGTTCATCGTATTTAAAATTGAAGCATATGAAAAGTTACCACAATTAAAATGAAAATAAAATACCGTCTCTCACTGATCCCGTACAAACCCTCCACTGCCTGGTTTAAGTTACTAGACTCAAAGATCCGAAAATATTTATGGAAAAATAAACCATCACAAATAAGTTTGAAAAGTCTAAACACAGTGGTGGTCGAGAGCTACCAAGTTTTTATGTTTCAGAAAGATTAACTCAAGCTGCTTATACATCCCATGGCTGGGCCTAGAATAGAACAGAACAGTATCAAGCATCATAATTGATTTATGGCTTAACATAAACCCTCTGTTCTGTCTTCAGTTATCTCCTGTAAACCCATTTGGAACAATCCAAATATTTATGAGTAAAATGAATCAAAAAACATTCTGTCATGGCATCAGGAGTGGATAAAAGAAATCTAGAACATGTTATTCAACTTTATCAGGAACACATTTTAAAATATGGAATCGGCAACAACAGGTTTCTTGAATATCGACATTTTAAATCTTTTATGCAGGAAAGATTTAATCCCGATCAGCTGAACTTAGAAATATCTACAGATCAAAGCTTGTGGTCACAAATATGCTTTAATACCTTCAAAATGACTAAAAGTGTCATGGGCGTCTCACGCTGTTTCTTTTTGTTTGTTTGTTTGCTTTTTAATCCTGTCCTATATGACAGCTTTTGCAATCAGAATTATAGATCTGAATGCTTTTTATTGTCACTACACACGTACAATGAAATTCAGAGCAACTGTGGAAAAAACGGGGGTAAGGTGCACAGTTCTGTGGCACCATAAACATCTGAACAGCTTCAATATCAAATGTATACATATAAAACAATATTGTTATATATTTACAGTGTAGGTGATTGCACGTAAATTCACTCTTACAGAGTAGTGATGGTTGTTTGTGTAGTCTGTGTAGAGAGGAAGTCCTTTGATTGGGGGTGGAATGATCTGGATCCACTGTTGTGCCAAACACATTTTGTTTTGCCAAGAACAGCTCCTTAGATTCTCTACAGGCTCCTCTTGTTCAGGGCTTATCTGATTATTTTGTCATTTCTATCTGTGTTATTTCAGTCATTATACGTAGTACACAGTATGACCATGTCTAAGGCAGGACAGGCAGTAAAAGGATAGAGTAGAAGTAGAAATGCACAATGTCTCTTCAACTACGGCACCTGTAAGGAAAACAAACATGCAGCACCTGAAACACAGACATTTGAAAATGCACAGGTACATAAGTCAACAATCTTTTTGTTGTGTGTGTGTGTGTGTGGCTCACTAGGCCTTGGTCCCTGTGGGACACTCTTCTTGAGTGTGGGGAGGTTTCCATCTCCACTGGTTGTTGGATGTGGGTACTTGCTGGCCCTCAGGCCTGTGGTCTGAAGTGGTTTGACCTCTTTGTTGCATGCTGGGGTTCCCGCCAGGTGTCAGGCAGTTCTTGGGCACCTAGGGTCCTGTGGCCCTGTTCTCAGCTCGTGCTGGGAGGCCGACTTCGGCTGGAGTCTGCTGCCTCCTGCTCCTGGTTCTCTGGTGTTCCTGCCTTTTGGCTGTGGGCACTCCATCTGGGGCCTCCCTCTGCTCCTCTGGGGTAGATCCTCTTGGCAAAACTGTCAGACAGGTCAGGTTTCTTAAAACGGATATTGAAAGAATGAGTCTTTGACTAAAGGTAGGCCTTCTCTGACCTGCTCTAATAGACAGGAGGAAGAGATTACTGAAGTTAACCCAGAAATATCAACAGGAGAGAAAGAATATAACTCAATAACAAGAAATAATTAATAAATAATAGCGGGATGCAATGTTTCATCTGTGGGATGATTATGGATCATTTTCTCTAGTGTTTGAAATTTTACTTCTGAAGAATTTTATGAAGTCATTACTAGTTTGGGTTAAAGGGATGGTTGGCTCAACAGAGCTCTGAGTGTCAGCCTGGCTACACCCTGGGGTTGTTCTTATTGTCTTCAATCAGTGATGAATAGTAAGATGTTCTGGCTTTACAGAGGGCCTTTTTAAAATGCAACAGTTTTTCTAGGCTAAAAGATTTTCTACATTAGTGAGATGAGATGAGCCACAGTATCCAGACCTACATGCAGTGAGGATCTAAGACTATTAACAAGATAATCATCCTCAGTGGGAGGAGAGTTTAGGTAGCTGCTCTGCACTGTGCTGGCACATGGCATCAAGATAACAGTGGAGGAATTGACTTTTAGAAAGACACCAGCCACAGTGATGTGTTCCCCACTGCTGTGTAATCTGTTATTGTAAATTTAAATACGCAGCAGTGAACACAATTTCTTTGTTTAATTCAAGAGCACTTTGAAAAACAAACTGACCTGATACCAGCGTATCTAAATTAAGGCAGCATGTACAAACAATGAAAGATACAAACTAAATTCTAAACTCTAAACATCCCAAAGACGCCTTCCTGCATAAACCGTTTCAATGACGGACGCTTCATATTTGCTTTACCATTGTTTGACTTCTTGGCTAATCTTAATGATGTTATTTTTGTTAAAATACTGTATCGATGTTTTCAACCTACAAAACTGTCCACGGTTCATCATACCATGAACCGTCATTGACTTGGCTTAAAGCTTAATCAGGTTAAGTTTAGGTTAGCTTCTGTGAAACCGTGTGTCTGTTGTGGGTTTCACATTCAAAGGCTTATTTATCGACTGCTTACATTATTCATGCTCCTCCTCCTGCAGGAGGGGGACTGCTCGTGTGGTTACAGAGTCGACTGTTTGTAACAGCAAAGCTACAGTCTGCACATGGACAGTGAGCCAGGCTGTAAAATAAACTGCTGGCCCCAGTTCTATGCTTTCATGAAAATAAGATCGCAGTTATATGAAATCTTTGACAGCAGTTTATCCATAAACTACCTAAAGTACATAACACCAGATATATATATATATTTGTTATACTGCAGGATGACACTTCTCTATTACAACTATATGACTCCAGGGGTTGAAATAGCTGTTAGGGTTATTCTTGTGTTATTTGCTGATTTGTTTACTTTCTGAGGGCATAAATAAATAGATGTTTATTCATGCAGTCATTGCCGACACTGGATATAGCAACCTTTTAAAAATCATTTGAAACTGTAAAGCTTTGCACATTGACATACATTTTCAAATGGATACTATTGCAAATACAGAATGATTCAAATCAATTTAATGTTACACCTTCTTCACCCTGTTATGCAACAAGAAATATGTTTTTAGTGATGGTGCCCCCTGTGGACAGAAACATGCATAACTGCAGAGAACATCTGCTTTTTCTCCTACAATACAAATACAAAATAGTGGACACATTCACTGCATCGTGGCTGGTGGTTCGAAACGTTGCACCTTTGTAAGGGCCAATAGGCAGAGAGTAAGGTGGTGCTAAAAAGTGATGACGTCCTGTGATGGGCTGCGAGTTACCCATCTAACAATGTGACATCGAGTGTTTCAATGTTTGATTTAGTCGTTTTTTGGACCATGACACAATCTTTGGATTTTGCCTCTGTACTCTAACATAGTGTGTTTTTAATCAAGTAATGAAAATATGATTAAAATTCAGGTTTTAATTCGAGTTTTTAGCCAAAGTGTTGAATTAGCTGTGAAAAAGTGGTGACTGAAAAATGTCTTTCTCTTCAGAAACTCTTGGGTTGCTTTGTAGCGTACTTTGTGTCATTGTGGATTTGCACTGTCTTTACATCTTAGTTATAGACTCGTACACCTGCCTGTTTAAGAGTATTCTTAACTGGCTCAGTGTTAGCAAGGCATTTCTCTTAACAAGCGAGAAATTCCTGCACTGTTCCTACCTTTTGTTGTTGAGTTTACCAGTGCATTCCTGCTTTTTAGGAGTATGATCACTGATTGATTGTTTGGCTTCGAATAAAGTTTATTCTGTCTTTCTGACTGATTTAGTTGGGTTTCTCATTCATTTGCGTCAACATTTTCCATAGTTGGTATATTTGGAATTTGGTACCTTTTCACTATGATGAAAGTGATGGACACCTTGGTTGTGTTCAGCATTTGGAATCAGCTCCAGATCTCTTATCAGCTTGATTTGTCAGTGAACAACAACATCAGTGTTGCAGCCAGGTGAAGTCGGATTACGCTTGAAAAGGAAAAAACGATAAAATTGGCTGTCATAACTCCCATTTTGACCTCGGGACTTCCAGGTTATACTCGGCACAGATGTTCCTGTACACTCCTCCCCCCTCCCTTTCCAAACGCCTTCGACGCTTATTCCCTTCCGATGCTGACGGGGATCAAGGAACCAGCGCACGCAGGCCCGGATGTACTGTCTATACTGGCTGTCTCTCACCCTTTACCCCCCCCGTTGCTTGTCATGTGTTTCTTTGGTGTATTAAGAGTTTTTTCATGTGCAGAGGTGTTTTTTCTGTTCTCAAACTGATCTCCCTGTTGGAGCTCAGTCTGAGGGGAGTTATTTTTTTCTCCTTATCTTTCCTCATGTGGTGCATTTTGCATTGTTATACCTCTCTGACCTGTCTTCCCCATGTGATGTTTTGTGTAATGTATGTATGGTCGGAGGGTAAGATGGTGCCGCCATTGCGTGCAATAGGTCGGCAGCCTTATGAAATTTCCCCTTGTGGGACTAATAAAGGTAAATCAAATCAAATCAAATATCAAATCAAATCAAAATGAATCAGAGGTTTTGACTGGAGCAGAGAGAAAGTTTTGCTAGCTGAGGTTACTGAGCAGGTTATGAACTGCAGTGTCATTTTGTTAGCTTACTTTCCCAGCAGTATTTGGTGGCATCTCTGTGGAAACCTGCTAAAGCTCAGTGGAATGGTTTGGAGAGGATCTGCAGGATCTGGGCTGGAAATATTTATAATTGATAGGCTGAGAGAAGGAGGTCCATGATAAGATGATTAAAGAAAAGCAGATAGACTATAAGACTTTAAAAAGTCTGGTTGGAAATGTACTGTGAGTGCCACATAATGTGGCAATGTATAAAACACAGATATGAGAACACAACAGACACAGACAGAGAGAATATGTTTGGGGTGTGGTCCCAATCCTGAACTTTAGATAAAGGTTCATCATTTAGGACCAAAGAAGTGAAAAGGTCACTAGTACACAACCGTTCAGTCTCCTCTGGAGCCACAGCTTCACCATGTGTCTGGTCCATCTGACCATGAATAGACTGCAGCTTAAATGCTATCAGCTCAGATTCAATTCTAAAATTCTTTACTGCAACTTAATTTCACAGTCCATTAGCATGCTGCTAAATGACTGTGTGTTTTGGTGGTAGCGGTAATGGGAAAGAGACAATGGAAATGAATGCTTCACAGACAGAGAGAGAATAAAATGTAGGCTGGAGGCAAGCTGAAAAGTAGTAATGATGCATTTCTTCAAAAGAGTGTTTGCTTCAGGTAAAGACAGGAAAGGTTGAGCTGCAGTGTGCGTGCTTCTGTCCATGCTGCAACCCAACACAATAGATTTTCACTCTCTTTTTTTGTAAAGTTAAATTGGATGTGTTATAATGCTTTATATCAAGAATTTATCAAATTCTAATTCAGAATTTCATATCTGTGGCTACAGCCACATTTACTGTTTGACATGTTTGGTGTCCTGCGACCGTACTTTTCTTTCCCTGGTGAACACGTGGGTAGATCCAGGTTGTGGTTTGTTCTGTCAGAGGTTTCTTGTGCTGTAGAAAAACTTTCCTCCCTCCTGTGGTGAGTATCAGGTATCATCAACATATATACACTAATAACCTATAAAAGATGACACATCTCATTTACCCTGGTCAGCCTGTTTCTAGTCTGTTGTTGGGACCCAACCAGCACTGATCAGCATGAGACTCAGGCTGTGTCCGGTCAGTAAAAAACAACTTAAATATAAATACAATCAGTGTTTATATTTAAGTCAGGGCAGCTATGGCTACAGTGTAGCTGCCATCACCAGTGTGTGAACGTGTGAATGACTGAATGTAGTGTAAAGTGCTTTGGGGTCCTTAGGGACTGAGTAAAGCGCTATACAAATACAGGCCATTTACACAGAAAGAACAATACAGTATCCACATCTGCACCAAATCTTCAGCAGTCTTCCAACCAGCCTATTAATCAACCAAAGACCCAGACAGACTTTTAATTCATTTGAAAGCCTGATGCTTCGCCTCGTCCACCCCAGCTGTGAAACTCAGAAACCAGTCTTACTTGTTACCATCTATCGTCCACCTGGGCCTTACACAGAGTTTCTCTCTGATTTCTCAGACTTTATATCTAATTTAGTGCTCAGCTCAGATAAAATAATTATTGTGGGTAATTTTAACATCCATGTAGATGCTGAAAAATGACAGCCTCAACATGGCATTTAATCTGTTATTAGACTCAATTGGCTTCTCTCAAAATGTAAAAGAACCCACCCACCACTTTAATCACACTCTAGATCTTGTTTTAACATATGGCATAGAAACTGAACATTTAACAGTGTTTCCTGAAAACCCTCTGCTGTCTGATCATTTCCTGATAACATTTACATTTACAAGAATTGATTACACAGCGGTGGAGAGTAGACTTTATCACAGTAGATGTCTTTCTGAAAGCACTGTAACTAAGTTTAAGAATATAATCCACCCACTGTTATCATCTTCAATGACCTGTACCAACACAGAGCAGAGCAGCTATCTGAACACTACCCCAACAGAGGTCGATTATCTTGTTAATAATTTCACCTCCTCACTACGTACGACTCTGGATACTGTAGCTCCTGTGAAAACTAAGGCCTCAAATCAAGAAACCAAGTATTTGACTCCGTGGTATACAGTGGTCCCTTGTTTATGGCAGGAGTTACATCCTGCCATAAACATCGCGATAGCTGAAATCTGCAAAGTAGCCAACTTTAGTTTTTACAGTTATTTCTGATGTTTTAAGGCTGTAAAGCCCTCACTACAAACTTTATACACTTTTCTCAGACAGGCATGAACGCTTTCACACTTTTCTATCTTGTTTAAACACTCTCAAAGACCTTTGTAGAAAAGTAAGTCCAGTATTATAGAATGAAACCAAAGGCACCAGCAGGTGACGACGTTTCGTCGACGCTGTTGTGTTTGTTGTGGAGAAAACTCACAAACATACAGCACGTCAGAGTCACACTGCTAACGATCGAAGTTTTATGTGAATTTGACAAGCTGAATGCATTCTGTACTGTACAGGAGACACGGCACGAGAATAATTGGCAATGGTCTACCTACAGCCAATCAGGATGCAGAGCACAATGCGCTGTAAAAAAGAAAAAAGAAAAAAACATGCACAATTGCACAACCAAAATAATCTGCGAAACAGCGAGGCCGCGAAAGGTGAACCACATTATAGCGAGGAACCACTGTACTTCTCAAACACGTAGCCTAAAGCAGATAATCTGTAAGCTGGAGAGGAAATGGCGTGTCACAAATTTAGAAGATCATCATTTAGCCTGGAGAAATAGTTTGTTGCTTTACTTAAAAAAAAGAAAAGGAAAAAAAAGCAATGCTGAGCTACTGTAATTCATTATTATCAGGATGTCCTAAAAACTCCCTGAAAAGCCTTCAGCTGATCCAAAATGCTGCAGCCAGAGTCCTGACAGGGACTAGAAAGAGAGCAGATTTCTCCTGTTTTGGCTTCCTGTTAAGTCCAGAATTCAAAATCCTGCTCCTCACATACAAGGTCTTAAATAATCAGGCCCCATCTTATCTTAATGACCTTGTAGTACCATATCACCCTATTAGAGCACTTCGCTCTCGCTCTGCAGGCCTACTTGTTGTTCCTAGAGTATTTAAAAGTAGAATGGGAGGGAGAGCAGCATGTCTTTATCCTGTCTACCTCCCCCAATCACAGCAGATGGCCCCGCCCCTCCCTGAGCCTGGTTCTCCCGGAGGTTTCTTCCTGTTAAAAGGGAGTTTTTCCTTCCCACTGTCGCCAAAGTGCTTGTTGGGGTTTTCTATGCATGTCAATACAATTACAATATAAAGCGCCCTGAGGTGACTGTTGTTGTGATTTGGCGCTGTATAAATATATTGAATTAAATAGCGTGGGTTGTCTATTGATTCAGTGCCTGGCTGTGTGAGTCTGTGTGTTGAGGTATTCTTGTGTAAGATACCGAATCCCAAGCTGCTTCATTGAGGGCAATTTGTATGAAAACATGGTGCTAAAGGATAAAAACAGAAGGTGCTTGGGTGTTTGAACAATAGTAGTAAAATTATTTTTAGTGCTGTTAGAGAAGAAAAGCACAATACAGTATATACACTGTGTGTGTGTGTGTGTGGTGCTTAAAAAGCTGTTAAGGGTCATGAAGGAACAGGTGATGCACATCAGAGCAAGCATCCAGGAAACATTAAAGGCCAAGTGAAAAGTCTAAACTGGGAGATTCTGTTAGTACAACAAAATAAAGCAAAAACACTGTGAAAAGTGTTTTGTGCGCTCTGCTGAGAAGGTGATTGTCTGCAGACTCCCATCTCTGCAGGACCTGTATACCTCCAGGACACTGGGGTGTGCAGCTGGGATGACAGCTGACCCTTCTCACCCTGGACAGTCTGTTTGACCTGCTCCCCTCAGGCAGGAGGTTCCTATCCGGTCGTTAAGTGATGACGTGACGAATCCTACTTCCGGGTCTAAAGTAGTCTGCGTTTAATATGGCTTTTGTGTTGTTAACATGTTTAATGTTTTGTATTTTCTTCTATTTAATCTCAAAAAGCTCCTAAAACAGTCAGTGATCACTGTTGACCTCCCTCGGCTTTTATTACCGCTAATCATTTATTTAGGCTCAGTTTTTAAAACCTTAGGATGTAACTACAGCCCAGCCCATGCAGCAGTATATGAATGACTAACCTCGTATTGTGGATGGATTATCTCAGTTGTTCTCCTGGCTGAAGTTTGGTCCGTTTACAGCATCCTGCCATGCGATTACATTTGTTCCTGACCACCGAGAACACTCACGTTAACTTTTATCCAGTGGAAAAAAAGTTAGCTTGTTTATATTATGCTAACATAGCTGTGTCGCTAGCAGTCACGTAGCACATCATTATATACCAGCTAGCCAAACTTCAGTAACCCTACAAACGTCACTGCTGTTTAGTTTTCTGTCTTCATTTATGCTGGAAGTGATAACAGAGCTGTACGTTTGAATTTGTTTCCAAAACCTTGCAGTCAGGACATGCTATATTATATTTAGATGGAAGCTAGCGAGCTAACTTCCTGCTAAATGTCATAACGTCCGTTTTCATGGATGCCTGGATGTTAAACTCAGTTGTTACACCTGGTAGAGCAGAACGCTGATCATTTTGTTAAAGATGAAAGACTTTAGACAGTTTTTCAACTCTCAGTAATGCCACAGTGATCGTTTGATATATGGACCTGCAGCAGAGTTTAGACCCCGACACGGCTAGTGACGTCAGACTGAACAACCGGATAGGAACATTTTCTTTCCCTCTGCTGTTGGACACATGAACAATACACCACAAACACATGACCCGATACTGTGTTCTGTGCATCTGTTCCATTTTTGCACTGATCATCACCTGCGCACATGTATATATTAATCTGCTTAGCACTTTTAATTTTTCTGTTTATTTAAGTGTAAACCTGCTCAACATTTGGCATTAAAACCCTTTCTGATTCGGATTCCCACAAAATCATTGAATGATGTGGATGAGACGTCTCAGTAATATTTTTGCCATGAAGTTTTATGCTATGGGACCAGAATAGATTATCAAAAGTAACCTTTAACTGTCTTCATATGTCAGTTAGCAGCAGCCTTGTGTTACAGATTATCAATGTTTCTATTGTTAGAAATTAATAACATTATTATATACATTTGTCCAAATTTCCTTCCATTTGGTACTTCCAAGAGAAGGTGAGTTATAAAGTTTGGATTTCAGAAGAGTTGATGTACTGTGCTTGAATGTTTGAGCATGCATGGTGGATGTTCAAGCACTGTATTTTTCCCCTCAGGTATTTCCACACCATCTACCTGGGTGTTCGGAGTCGCCAGGGTGCTGAGACGGAGCGCTGGCGTTACTACTGGAGGATGGTCTATGAGTTTGCAGATGTGAGCATGCTGCATCTACTGGCAACCTTTCTGGAGAGCGCTCCACAACTGGTGCTTCAGCTGTGCATTATCATCCAGACACACAAGCTCCAGGCTGTGCAAGGTAGTAGCCCCACACACATTCAAACAATGCTGCACAATTGTGTGACCATACTGATGCCAAACATTTTTATATATGGCTTGTATTTTTATAGCGCTTTACTTAGTCCCTAAGGACCCCAAAGTGCTTTACACTACATTCAGTCATCCACACATTCACACACTGGTGATGGCAGCTACATTGTAGCCACAGCCACCCTGGGGCGCACTGACAGAGGAGAGGCTGCCGGACACTGGCGCCACCGGGCCCTCTGACCACCACCAGTAAGCAACGGGTGAAGTGTCTTGCCCAAGGACACAACGACCGAGACTGTCAGAGCTGGGGCTCGAACCGGCAACCTTCCAGTTACAAGACTAACTCCCAACCCTTGAGCCACGATCGCCATGATTGTAGCTGAAGCTGGCAGAGCTATTTGTTTGTGTGTACATGCTATCTTATGGATAGAAATGATTCTTCAAAGTCACATGTGAATTGGAATTCTGTCTGTAATTCTGTGTATAGACAGAATTTCTAGGTGCAGCCAGCAAGCAGAGGGTTTGTGGTTCAGGTGACTTAAGATCACAACTGTGGTTTTTGCAGATTATTTGATTTTGTTGGCTTCATTTAGCCATTTATTTAGCCCTCATTTATGGTCTTGGTAGAAATGAGCTTCTCCAAATCAAAGAAAGCTAGCTGAGGTGGTTCAGACATCAGGCAAGGATGCCTCACAGGCACATCCAAGGTGTTATGGCCAAGTCTGACTGGGAACCTGCTTGTGAGTTTTACCAGTATTTCTGATTTGTTGCACTCTGAACTTTAATTCTCAATAATATAAATGAATAATTCTCTGATTCCGTTAGCTTTCAAACCTTTTCAGTCAAATGGCTGTAGTTAAACATCCAGTTCTCTCACCCGGTGCTTAGTTCATCATCCTGGATGTGCAAGACTTGCTGCAGTGTCATGGTCATGTAATGTCCATTTCCTAATTATGCAATAACCTGTGAAGCAGATGAAAGATCAGGAGGTTTTTTTTTAGTAGCTTTGCACTGAATCTGGAAATATGAGGCCCAAAGAAAAGTGTGTGCTAAAAAATAGCTAAAAAGAACAATCAAAGAACTTTTACTTGGTCAAGAAGAAAACATTTACGGCATCTACCCCATGACTAGAAAACTCTGGAGGAGAAAGTCTACAAATCAGGGTTTTTACAACAAGATGCACATGATGAAACGCTTACTGCAAAAACAACCAATGAGTTTCTCTAGACAAAGACGTTGGATATCTTGTTATGTTGTTGAACATGACAAGATGTGTTACAGTTCAATTTTATTTATATATATTTTATTTATATTGCACCAAATCATGAGAACAAAGGTTCTAATTATGCAAATGATTCAAGGTGGAATAAGAATGCCCTGGAGCAGTATCTGTACCTGCTGCATTCATCTTTCCAAGTGTGGTGTCAGGTTTATATTGTTGATTGTCATTTATGCTTAGAAAAATTTACTCATATATGCTTAGAGTTTTATAATGGAATGCGTAATGATAGAGGTCTGATCCGTAGCAGCCTGCAAAGACTGTGTGCCTCTATGACAAAGTGGAGGAGCAGTTGCAATGCTCTCCATTTGTCCCATATGTGTTTATCTTTTTTTGCACATTGTACACGTTATTCTGTTTCTATGTATTTGCTATGATTTGCTATTTGTCAAGTAACATTGCTTCACTCACTATCCCAGGTTTGTTTGTGGAAGCGTTTTGTTGCCGGAAAATCAAACATGCTGCAAATTAAGGCAAATACTCAGTTACATGTTTCTTTATATTTTATTATGTTACAGATTAAGTCATTCGTTCATACTTACTTTGTTTGTCTTTTCAGTCTTCATGAGGGTCAGGTGTGGGGAAACGCCCGCCTGGCATTTCCTCATTTTAAAGTCCTGATGATGTCACACATGACATCAGCAGGTCAAACCAAGTGGAGGGGTTTGTTTTTCCGTAGAGATGCTTCCTTTTGTTTGTGTTAAGGTTTAAAGGGATTTGTTGAATGTTTTCCCTTTCGTTAACACTGCCATTTAGTTGTGTAAATGTGCATGTTAGAAGTGTGTAGAGGTTTTGTGTTTTTAGATCATCTGTGTAGAGTTTTAGATCCCTCAGTTTGAGTGAGTGGTACTGGCTGGGCAATTGGAGGGAAATTGATGGCCCTATTTAAAGCCAGTCTCTACCAGATGCAGCAGAGAGGAGAGGAGAGGAGAGGAGAGGAGGAGAGGAGAGGAGAGGAGAGGAGAGGAGAGGAGAGGAGAGGAGAGGAGAGGAGAGGAAGGAGAGGAGAGGGAGAGGAGAGGAGAGGAGAGGAGAGGAGAGGAGAGGAGAGGAGAGGAGAGGAGAGGAGAGGAGAGGAGAGGAGAGGAGAGGAGAGGAGAGGAGAGGAGATTAGATTAGATTTTGGGGGGGGGGTTGTTAAGTTACACATTAAATTAAGTTCACTGTAAATAAATTGCTCACCTCTGGAAATCTGAAATGTCTGCGTAGTCGGCTTCCCACCACCTTCCTTGACGTTCGAGTCTGACTACTTCACAGCCTCCCAGAGTGCTCTGGCATACACATACATCTTGAGGTCGTACCTTCTCTTACTGATTTATGGTATCGGAGGACACCTGCTATGTATCTGCTTAAGTATAAGTGCCTTTTGTTTAGGTGGACCGCTGGACTCCTGGGACCAGCTTTGGGGAGTCATTCACAGGATCACATCTTGACACGCACACACACACATACCTACACGACACACAGACAAGGTACTCTTTGTTCTCATGTATGCCTATGTAAGACGTCATATGTTAATGAACCTATGCATATTCATATAACCACAATAGAGATCGACAGACCACGTGACTTTCGTGCATTGCATTGTGGGTACGAGTGGCAGCAAAGTCAAAACACTGCATCAAGCGCTAGTATTTCCAGCACCGCTAATCATTAATTCTGTGGTTTTAATCCCTACTTGCATTTTATTTGCCCCCAAAAACAGCTCTGTACAAAACGACAGAAACACGGCAGCTCTGTACGAAGACAGAAAGGTAGGAGGAAAAACTGAAAGGAGTGGAAGGGTCAGACCCACACGAGCACAGAGTGGAGTAAGCACGTTAGCGTGCTGCACAACTTTCATCACGCACACATTTATTATTATGTGGTCCTAAGTGTGAGCGCACACACTCAACATGTTTAGTAACTTCAGATCCTGCAACAAGCCCAGGGCCAGTTTACTTTGGTGATTTGGACGATTCCATCTCACAGCTGCTGTTACAGACCAACACCATGTATTTGTCCTTTCAGGTTGTAGTGTTACACAACATTTTCAGATCTAGTAGAAATAAAACGAGTGTTTTGTAATTCATTCAATTTGTTGTCTTTATTTATAACTGGCATTATTGTTTCATTCTGTTACAGAGTCTTACAGGAAAGAGGCAACGTTGTAAAAATCCATCAGCTTTATTAGCTGCTTCGGTGAAAAACAAATCAACAATGCAAAACAACATACTGAAACAGTTATTCATCACTTGATTGCTTCAATACAACACTTGGGCACATGTATGCAGACGTTTCGTGGCTGTTTTGATCTCGCGCTCTCTCTTCACCGATCAAATCTGGCTGTGTTAGCAGCTTTAAACTCGGTCTGACCCAGGCTGATGGAGGGGCCCAGTCTGGATCACATCCCAGCATTTTGTAGGCTGGTTTTCCTACAAAACACAACAAACGTTAGTCCACAAAACCACAGTGAACAAAGCAGCAAAGCAACAAATTCAATTCAAATCAATATAAGATTTATTTGTAACCTACATCAACAAAAAATGTTGAAATGCTTGGAGCAGACTAACCTGTGAGCTGCAGTGTTCTGGGACGTTATATTTGGTCTTCGAATGGCTGCAATCCAGGCCATCCGTTGCCTCTTTGGTACTTCGGAAACATGACTTGAACAATTTCTCTTCCACGATGGAATCCGATAAAAACGATCTCTTTACCCGTCGGCTTCCCCTGGCTGTCATGTGACTATTGCAGTTAATAATACAACAGCTTCTTGCCATTCTTTGTTTCTTTTTATCACTGTGTGACTGTTTTCATATGAAAGCCTGCGTGCACTAGTACCACTTGCCACTCGTACCTGCAATCCTTTGCGGTTTTACCCCAGAAATGACGTCACATCTCTATAAAGAGCAGTGCTACGAGGGAGCTGACGAGAGCGACTGGGGTTCGAGCGGAAGGAACAGCGCCCGTCACAGTTCTCTCCCTCGTGCACGAGTAACACAAAGAGCTCTGGTGACTTGTGCGTTGCTTTAGCCATTGTAGTAGAATTGTCTCGTTCCAGCGGGGGCCTGTGCCAGACAGATCCATCATGTGGTGCTTCTGTAATCCATCCGTTATGTGGTTGTGAAAACGGTTGTTTTCTCTCTGTCTCTTTAGGAATGACAGCTGCAGCCTCCCTCGTCTCTATGGCCTGGGCCCTGGCCTCCTATCAGAAGGCCCTGCGAGAGTCTCGGGATGACAAGAAGCCCATCAGCTATCTGGCAGTGATTATCCAGTTCTGTTGGCACTTCTTCACCATAGCAGCCCGAGTTATCACCTTTGCTCTGTTTGCGTCTGTATTTCAACTCTACTTTGGCATCTTCATCGTCCTGCACTGGTGCATCATGACCTTTTGGATTGTCCACTGTGAGACAGACTTCTGCATCAGCAAGTGGGAAGAGATTGTGTTTGACATGGTGGTGGGCATAATCTACATCTTTTCCTGGTTCAACGTCAAGGAAGGACGGACAAGGTGAAGACGTTCTCCATCAGTGTGATGTGGTTCAATTTTTAAACAATGCTTTAACTCTTCTGTCATTTTTAAATTTATAAGCGCTTGGTTGCAGTAAGTGCAATAGTTGAAACTACCATGCAAAAGAAATTCAGCCATTCCTGTTTCTTGAGCTAGTTTCAACTTTAGCATTTAGTACTGACAACTCTGACTTACATGAAACAATCTGTGAGACCTTCAGCTTATTTTAGTGATAGTTGCTTGCAAATACTTGCATTTATTTGTTGTTATTATGTCTCATGTCTCTGTGCAGGTGTCGGCTTTTTATCTATTACCTGGTAATCTTGATGGAGAACACTGCTCTCAGTGCGTTGTGGTATCTCTACCGATTTCCTCAAAATACTGACGCCTTTGCAGTGCCAGCACTCTGCGTCATTTTCAGCAGTTTCCTCACCGGCATTGTTTTCATGCTCATGTACTATGCCTTTTTTCACCCGAACGGGCCACGCTTTGGACACTCACCAAGTGGCCAAGGCCTTGACCTGGACCCTACTGCTCAGTTCTCCACTCTGCCATCAGAAGGTGCCACCAATTCACTGCGTTCGAACCGAGGTGCTACCACAACTCTGGAACGACACGACAAGTATTCTGAGCGAGATGGCTGCATGCCAGTGTTTCAGGTCCGATCCACAGTGCCATCAACGCCATCTTCTCGTGCTCCACGCCTAGAGGAGAACGTCATCAAGATCGACCTTTGTAGGAACCGCTATCCAGCCTGGGAGCGTCATGTTCTGGACCGCAGCATTCGCAAAGCAATTTTGGCCATAGATTGCTCATTGACTCCTCCACGGCTGCAGTACAAAGATGATGCTCTGGTACAGGAGCGGTTGGAATATGAGACCACTCTATAGTCCGCTCGGCTTTCGGAAACCCTGCAGGGGCACAGCAACAGAGTGGTATCCTGTGATCACATAAACAGCAACAGGAACTGTGGCAATAAGAATTTGTTACTGGCATCAGTTTCAATATCTTCATCTCCCATTGCTGTCGTTCTTTTTCTATTTCCGGGTATCAGAAGTGTCGAGAAGCAGTCGGGACTGTTGGTAATGGCTGGATGACCAACTCAGTACAAGTTCAGTTAGTGTCACTGGTGGGATTGCTGCTGGTCAGATTGTTGCTATTATTTTTACTAACACTTATCTGGTAAATGCTGTC